GGAGGAAAAAAAAATTGTATGGGTGGGGTAGAGATCCACACTGCGTTCTGACTTGCGTCATCATCATCTCTCTTGTGCCAGGAGTATAGTGACATGTTAAGCAGTAAGCGCCTCCGTACTGAATACCATGCTAATGAGCAAAGCTGACGTTTACTGCAGCACCGTACACAGTAAGCTCTTAGGCTACTCCCATGCGCTCGTCGCAATTGGTTGCACGAAAACGACGGTAGGGACCGGACACTGACGTAATATATAAAAATCCTCTCGAAACTTCTCTAGTTGCTCGCTCCGCTCGCCAATTACGCAGGCAGATTATTCGTTTTTTTATGGGCAGAAAATGATGAAAATTTGGGCTTCTACTTCGTTCTTGCTAGCCTCCACTAGTACTGTAACTGTGAGTTTTTAACTTCAATGCTGTATGAGTCACATAAGCCTTGTTTATGTTTGCTGCCTAAATCATCCTATACCTACATCACTTTGCATCTATCCATGTAGTTGACTTGAATGGATTTCCTTGGATAGTACGAACACATATAACGTTCAGGTGTCTTGTTCCAGCTGATAACACTGATGAGAGAGAAGAGGCGCAGAACAAAGGAGACCCGACTACCAAGACCCACACTACGAGGTTCTCTTTCTGGATGGAGATTTCTTCATGGAGACCCAGAACACCGACATGACCCGAGAATGTTCCCCTCATTACTCTCTCTCTTTCTCTATTTTTCTCCTTCTCTTTCTCTATTTTTAATCCCTCAACTCTTTCTCGGCAGTCTCTCATAGCTTCCACTTTCTTTCTACCTCTTTCTCAACCCTCACCTCTTTCTCTCTTTTGTCTCCATTTCTCCATCTTTTCTCCTCCCCCCTCCTCTTCCTCCTCTTTTTTTTTTATTCCCTTGTTCACCCTCTCTCTCTCTCTCCCTTCGTATCGCACCATGCAGTGAATGCATAAACAAAAAGAGAGGAGCAAGTAAACTGCTTCCGAAGATATTAAGAGTTGCTTCCACAAAATGTTAATATGCATGCATGTGAATGCATTTAAAACCTTGTTACCTCCCTTCCACAAATGTTTAATATGCATGCATGTGAATGCAGTTAAAACCTTGTTCACCTCTATTCCACAAAATGTTCAATATGCATGCATGTGAATGCAGTTAAAACCTTGTTCACCTCTCTTCCACAAATGTTAATACACCCTACTGTATACGGTTTCTATAGTATCTCTTGTCTATATATAGGTGCTACTGATGGAACCTATATGAGGAGAGAGGAATTTATTCTACATACCAAGTCACATTGTCTTCCACCCAGCTAATGAAACAACCCCTGGGGTAATGAGGAATCACTTTCACTTTCAATACACTCCTCTGCACTTTCGCTTTCAATATAATGTACTCTCTATTGACCAGTGTTTATGTCCTCATTGCAGAAGATTCAGATCTGGCACACTGATCCGAAGTCAGCACAGGGGGTTAGTGGCGTGTCTAGAGTGATGTGGTGTTGTATAATTATGAGTTAATGTGTTGTTTCTTGCATTGTAGGGGGTTAGTGGCGTGTCTAGAGTGACGTGGTGTTGTATAATAATTATGAGTTAACATGTCTGTTTCTTGCATTGTAGGAGATCCACGAGTGGGCGTATGAGCTGTCATGTGTCAGAAACATCAGGTACATGTGACAAAAGGCTGTGGTAAAATATTTGTGTCTAATTTACAACATGTGTATTAGCGTCCTACTTTTTTAATGGGACGATTTGGTGATTTTCACTAAGAGTTCCAGAAACGAACGATTATGAAGATGTGTAACAGCGCACGTGAAAATACTTATAGCACTATAATATTTTATGCCACTTAATTTTTTTATTTCTATGTCTCCAATATTAATTTTTTCCTGATTCGTAGTATAAACAAGAGAGACAGCAGAGGAGCGTTTCTATACGTCGTCTCAAATTCATGCGACGATTTCCCCACATTTTTTCTCTTCCGGCCCATGTGAACGGTACGTACGTACGTAACGTACGGTATGCGTATTAGAAAAGTGCATATTTTTAGCGTGTATAATGTGGTGTCTTTTCATCTCTTCCACTTCTCTTCCTCCTTTTTAAAAATGTAGGTATGTCTCCTAAAAATGTCTATAGCCCAGTTTACACGTAAACTAAATCAGTTACGAACAGGTCCTCGTGTTAAAAGGGCTATATACTAATACCACATTAAACTCGTGCAAATTGAACTCTTGTTTGAACGGATTAACTGTGATAAAAACTGTGTTTCACTTCACTATGGCCATGTTTCTGTGAGTTGGTGACTCATCCCTCACTGCTGACTCACGCGCCACCCTCACCCCCTCACCGAACTCCCCGACCAGGTCACCGAGTACGATACGAACTGGACGAGAAAACGTAAAACAGTCCTGTATCTCGCTAACCGGTTTAGCGTGTTACCGTCGCCAGGGGAGCGTGTTGTGTTGGGAGAGGAGCGTTTGGTACGGTGTATTCCGCCGTCGACTCGGTCACCAAGAAATGCCGTGAAGAGATTAGGAGAGCGATTCCGGGTAAGCCGAATATGTGCATTTGGGGTTATTCGGTTTGTCTGTCAAGGGGTTAAAGCATTTGGCCACACCGTTAGTCCCATTATAAGATAATATGATAATTTCACCCCCAAGAAGCAAAGGTTTAAACGCTGTCTCCAAGTTTATATTGGGGAAGAACGTTTTGTACAACCTGTTTTATTTCAGTACAAAATACTCCCACGAAATTTACACAAAATCATAATTATGTGACAGGTGATATAATGTTGTGAATAAGAGAATATTATTATTTTCATGCAGTATAGCAAGTTTCAGTGTTTTTGTACTTGGTTTGTTGCCTCACTTCTCTCTCATTTTTCTGCAGTCAGTTTCAGGCGTTGCAAGAAGAGATTCAGCTCCACAGACACCTGCAGCACAAGAACATAGTGCAGTACTACGGGGCCAAGACCGAGGGAAATGTGTTCAAGATATTCATGGAGAACGTGCCCGGAGGTATGTACACGTATACATAGGTTAGTGTGTGAGGGAAGGGGAGAGGGAGGGGGAAGTATAAGATATAATGGAAGTTTCTGGAAGATACTAGGACCGAGGGAAATGTGTTCAAGATGGAGAATGTTCCCAGAGGTAGTGAGGGAAGGGGGAGAGGGAGGGGGAAGTATAAGATATGTGGTCCAGCTATAGAATGTTCTGGAACATCTTGGAGCTAGGACATAGGGAAACGTGTTCAAGATTTTCATGGAGAATGCTCCCGGAGCAGTAATAAGTAATATAAAGTGGTGAACTGGGGAATGTTCCTCAATTAAAAGCTTCATTCAAACTCTGAGAGGGACAAAAGTGAATCGAGGGGGCAAGTGCCCCCTGCCCCCCTAAATGAACCCCTGCCTCCCCACTCACACAGGTAGTCTTTCGAAGCTCCTGAGACAGAAGTGGGGGCCACTAAAAGACGACGAACCCACCATAATCCACTACACCCGGCAGATCATAGTGGGGATCAAGTATCTCCACGACCACCGCATCGTCCACAGAGACATAAAGGGAGACAACGTGCTCATCAACACGTACACCGGAATCCTGAAGATTTCGGATTTCGGGACTTCGAAGAGACTGGCTGGACTCCAGGACCAGACGAAGTCTTTTAAAGGTGGGTGGACGAATTTGTACAGGATAATTCAAGGCGAGCAAAGTAGTAAAAGTAGTTAAAATTTTTCGCGTGCATATTTAGAATCACGTAAAGTATTACAGTGCCTGTCACACAAAATTCACATTGAGATGACTAGGTAAATCTCGTTTCGCTTGCTATTTGTATGTTTCTGCACACAGCATAATAATATGCCATGTGCGTACCTTAAATGTGATTTTTCTAAGTGTATTTGTTGATCGCAAAAATTGATCCCATTATTCAGGTACGCTGCAGTTCATGGCCCCGGAAGTGATCCAGTCGGGACTGAGAGGCTATGGACCTCCCGTAAGTCTCATTTGTGAGTACATTGTTGTTGTTGTTGTTGAAGTTTAAGCTGTACACAATGTTTCAATTTCTGTAGGCTGATATATGGTCACTGGGTTGTACAGTGGTTGAAATGGCGACTGGAAAACCGCCGTTCTATGAAGTACGTACGTAAGGACACATTAATGCTGTGTTGGTATTACCCCTCTTGGGTATGTGGTTAATAATGTACGTGTTGTCCTCCCCCCCCCCCCTCTCAGCTGGGCGATCCTATGGCAGCATTATTCGTGGTGGGTAACTTCAAACGTCATCCGGACGTCCCGGAGACCATGTCTGCAGCTGCAAAATGCTTCTGTGAAAAGTATGTATGTACACACAACCGACCACTGGCTTTCTGCACGAAATGCTCAGTTTTGCAGTGTGTAGCGTTTTGTGGTAAAACAAAAGCTACGTACGTTTCACGATGCTTCTCCACCTCTCCCCCTCTCCTCCCTCTCCTCCCTCTTCTCCTTCTCCTTCCTCTTCTTCCTCTCCTCCCTCTCCTTCCCTCTCCTTCCTCTCCCCTTCTCTTCCAGGTGTTTCCATAAGGACCCAAAGTTGAGAATCACAGCCGGCGAGCTGCTCTGGCACAAGTTCCTCAGGTCGGTAGATCGGTTCACAACCCAGTTTGACGCGATTTGTTACACTTTCACGATGGTTTTTGTTTTCATTTTCAGGAAAGACCGGCCTGACAAGCTGGACTCGGGTTAGCTTCCTAAACATCTCCTATCTTATCTCGTATCTTTTGTAACACATTTTTTGTCCACTGTTTGTTTGTTTTTTTGTCTTCCAGTTCGGCGCCAGCTAAGAGACCATCCATTGATGCTACCAGCACCCTAGATGCTAAACTTTCCAAGTCACTCACCCTAAAAATGTACGTTTCTTAGGTGGTAGATTTTTGAGAGAAAAAGCAACTGCGGAGTTAGCCATTCATCTGTAGAATCTGTTAGTGCTGCTTATCCTTATTTTCTACAATCACAAATTAGTGCTGTTTATCTTTATTTGCTCCAATCACAACATTTTTCTCCCTTGAAAATTCCCGCTTTACAAGCTATTTTGTTATTTGGCCACTCCCTTCTTGCAACGATTCTTCCCTTTTTTTTGCTGTTTGTTCATTTGCAGTGGTCAACAGGGGAAACCAGCAACTGACCTCAGAAGACTAAAATCCACTCCTGTCCAGTGAGCAAATATAGCCAGAATTTTTGTCGATTTTAGCTACTTCACCAGCACTATAATTATATGTACATTCTTTCTTATTTTCTGTAGCTCTCCCGAACCAAACAATGACTCTGATGGTATGTATTACTGATCACATGAGTAGTCATGTGACTGCACAAGGGCATCATGTGTCTGTCACGTGACTTGCATATCGTATCACATTTATACAGCGGATGAGCCGGACACGCCGGGATTGGATTATGTACTGGGTGAGGGGGGAGAAGAGGGAGGAGAGGGGGAGGGAGGGACCCACCCCAAGCAGTTCAACCAGGTCATGCTACAGGCTCAAAACAGGATGGTGCTGATTGCGGTCCTGTCAGACCAGAAAGAAAAGGCGAGTCAAACCTGTTTTTTTTACTCAACCGCTTACTTCTCATCTCTGAATACTGCAGATATGTGAGGAAGTTTTGACTAAATTGAAAGAAAGCCGCCCACCCAGAGTTGACAAAGTACAGAAATGTTTGTTTTTATCTACATGTCTGTATTGCATGCGTATGTAATCCGAAACGGAAAGTGTATCAAATGTGGCTATATACTGTTTCATCTCCCAGGGGCAGCTGCTTGTTGTTATTAGTGCCCTCGCTCTCTTCGCCAGAAGTGACAGTGACACCGGCCTCGAAGATATTCTAGGTATATACAGGAATGCAGTACATTCTTGGGAAGATGACGCAAGGTGCACAAAATAATTTCACATAAAAGAAGTGCGTATGGATGCATGCACAAAGGCTGGACATGTACCGACGTCTATAAAATAAAAAAAATAAAAAAAATAAAAGGTGCGCTGATAGGTTTGACTTTTGTTTCCACAGGTCAGTTGAAGAGGGATTGTTTCCATGACCACCACTTGAGGGACGACGTGGAGCTGAGCTGCAAGACATTGATCCCTGCCGCTGTTAGTCACATGACTGGTCACATGACCATCAATCATGTTTCCATTTCCTATAAACCTTGTGTATAAGTATCTCACGCACTATGCATCATGTGAGACGGAATACAAAGCCTTTTAAGTAGTTTCTTTTTAGGATTGTGTGACAGTCACATGATGGTCACATGATCTCTCTCTCTTCCTCCAGGTGACAATGGCCAACAAAAGACACGGGACAGCACCTCACGCCATGTTTGCCATTGATGAAATAGTACTCTGTGGAGTTCGTTCAATCCTGGTCATTGTCTCCCCTGGTGAGCTCTTGGCGAATAGTTTAACTCTGCTGGTAGCTTAGTGGCGGTAGAGCGCTCTGTCTATACTGCAGAGCGCTGTGGGTTCGAAATCCCACCCAGGGCAACTCTCTTTTCCTTCCTGGGTAGAGTTATGCTGTTTGCCTCTGCTTTGCCTTGCGACCTTGTTTACGTACGATTAGTGTATGTATTTATACAGTATATAGCATAATTATAATTGCTGATGAATTGGGTGTTTTTTTTGCTTTGCAGAATCGGTGCAGAGTATTTTGGAAAAGATTCCACCAACTCCGACGAAATCTCCGTCCCATACCTCGCTAACCGTGACGACACCCGTGACCACGCCCACCTCCAGCGTGGACGCAAGAGACGTACAGAGACAGCTGCGAACTGCTCTCGAAGAGAACCTCCAGTGAGTGGGACACAACATTTTTCATACTTTCTCAAGCAAGTGGGGGGAAGGAGAGTCTGACCAACCATCTTGAATACCTTCACTGCAATCTCCCCTTACAGTTATAAGTATTAGTCTCTGGTTCTGTAGGTTGCTGAAGGACATGAATGATGTAATGCGAACGTATGTGTTGGAGGTCAAAGGTCAAATGCCGAGGCCAGCTGCGAGGAAGAAGGTGACTTTTCAGACGGACTCAGTGGAGGACGTGGACTCTGGGGTTGCCACGGGCGACAGCAATCTGGTGGCCTGGTTGGAAGATATACAGCTGGATCACGCCTCCATTCAGAGATTTGTTGCCGAGCAACTGACACTGAGTGATGTCAGAGATCACATGACCAGGGAGGATGTCGTTGACTTGAAGCTCAAGTGAGATTCTTGCTTTAAACTTTGTGCTGACGCGGCATGAAATTGTGCACTTGAACTCTGCACCAGGCCTTCCAGTACTTTGTAGCTGTAGACAGAAAAAAAACTTTCCTCAATTATTATTGTGACGTACGTACCACTATGCCCGTTCTCGTTCCACAGAATTGGACCCAGGTGTCGGGTATGGGCTGCTATCAGTGAGTACAGGTCCTCCAAACTAAACACAACATAGGTTTTTGATATATACTTCTTCATCTTTCTAATTTCTACTCCATCCCGTGACAAAAGCCTATAGTTATACTTCTCCACTTCTATACTACCTTTCAACTTAGTGCGTCTTCTTTCACCTTTCAACATCACTCCTGTTAACATCACTTCCATATCTTGTATGTATACGTGCACAGCTCCCAATATTTTCACCACGTGATGCGATTCCATGCTTTTTATTTTATTTTATAGTTCACACATAATAGTTTGCATTACATGTTGACAAAAAGATCATCAGCTTTAATTATAGAGTTTCGACCGTCAATCATTTTGCGTGTGTGCGGTGCTCGTTGTTGTACTTGTGTTGCCATGGGAACGTTGAAGGTACTGCTCAGACATTCGTGAAACGAGGGACGAGAAGAGTCCAGCCTGTTGTTAGAAAGTGGGGGTTCGTTTTAAAAACAACTAACAGGTTTTTTCTCGTACCATTCTGGTTTTTATCTGGACGTGCAAGGTTTTGTCGCTCCTCGACAGCTGCACGCAGTGTTTTTCAGCAGATGCGTCCCAATCTACTGAGTCATAGCTGAGTGATGTGATCACAGACTGAGGGACATAGAGAGAAAAGGAAAACCAATAAGGAAAATTAATTTGGGGAGAAAGAGGGATGTCATTCCACCTTGGTGAACATACACGGACATGTACAAGAACAAAAAATTGTGCATATAAAAACCTGCTATACTATAAAGAAAATGGGTCAAAAACTGCGATAAATTGAAGAAAAAAACTCACATTTGTTTCCAAGGAGATGAGGTGGAATCCGGACGTGTTGACTGCTATGTTTACAGGAACGTGCGCCTTTCGATGTATTTTGACCTATTTACCAAAAAAAAAACAATTTTATAGCGCCAGCCATACTGTGGCAGCCAGGGGTTAAAGTTGTAAACTGTACCTGTGTTGGTAGGCGGAAGGTCTTGGTTGCTAGGCTACCGTGGAAGAATGCGGCTCCGTAGAAAGGCCACTGGCAGCATTTCTGAAGGTACTGCTTGTAGAGTGAAGCCTGAATAGTACAGTAGGTCGCCTCATTGTTTAGTTTGTCATGTGACAATCACGTGATTCTCACCTGAGGGTCATTGTCGGAGAACGTTGATACACTTTGGGAGACTCTAGAATGTTGGGCGAGTATACGACGTTCAAATTCCACTCTTCTCCGCGAGGTAGCCATTGCGACTGGCAGGACTTCTTCCAGCTGCCCCTGAAGGAATCCGCTGTGGTGCACCGTGGAAACGTGGTCTCCGTACAACACCTGGAAATGTGGAAATACTGTGGAACCCCTCAACCACGAATGGCATAGGAGGAAGTGTCGATATTAGTCAGGTGTTCTTATTTTGGGGCCGTTAAAGTGTGCAAGAACTGTTCTCGGGAAAAGAAATGTCCTAATTTTTCAGAGGTGTCCTCATTTCAGGGGTAGGGGTATTCTTGGGTAATGTTTTTAGCTTTCTCTTCACCAACTCTCCCACTTTCCTTACCTGCATGGTGAGTCCACCCAATTCAATGGCATCCTCCTCTGAGCAAGGATAGTGTCCTTTTAGCACATTTCTCTTTGCCTAAGGCGAAGAGAAAGAGAGAGAGAAAGAGAGGAGAGAGAGAGAGAGAGAGAGAGGTGGACTCGTGCATGCTTCAAAGCACAAGGGCAAGCATCTTGAGTTTCTGGTAGTTGTGGTGTACTTACATCTGCGTAGAGAAGCTCCAACATCGTGGGGTCTGCAACCTGTTGAATCAAAAATGACGCTTAAAAATTCTTGTAGAATCTCTTTCCTACTGATTTCTCTTTGGCTGGTGAGATGAACACATTTCGTCGCAGACAGAGCTTAGGTATCTCGGCAGCGGTCGTCTTGGTAACATATCGGGTCATTAGCGACGGCCAAGTAGACATCAACTGTAGCGGCTTGTCGTTGTCACCCAATTGGATTTCTGAAATAAAATTTTGAAAACTAAAATATATAAAGCACAAATTAATGTTGTACCTAGGCTGTCGGACTGAATCCACAGAGCCACCATCTCGTGGTACTGCGGAGCCAACTGGATGAGCTTGTAGATGTCCTGCAGATAAGGACAGATAAGGAGATAATGGTCACCGTTCACACCGGAGCTCAATTTACATTCTTACTTGTAAAATGTGTTCGGTAGGTGTGTCTTTGCCACTGGGGAAGCGAGCAAGGTGGTGTTGACCATTTACGATGTCGATTCTCTGACGTCTAACCAACTGAGGAAGAAACACCAAAATATTGTACAAATGCCATTTTCAGGTCTCTAGAATGGTCCCAATGAGGCGTGATAAATGTATTCTAGGGTTTTCGTACCTTATCTGCATTGTTTCCCGGAGACGTTCTGTTTCTTGCTGAGCGGCCGGCTGCTAGACTTCCCTTTTCGCTGAGAGATACAATGTCCTTTATCCTCAGTGGTAGTGGCTCGGATGTTGGGGCTTCGCCGTCGTGAGTAATATGCAGGGGTCGATCAGGTGGGGAAAGGAGGGAAGGCGAGAAGGAACACGATTGCTGTGTGGCCTACAACAAAAGATGTTCATGGATGAACATGTTAATCTAAGTTAAGTAGTGTGTATGATTTGAGCCTGTATTGTTGGGAAACTTACGGTTTTTGCATACGCTTCACGGAGCAGTTTTGCCGTCTGTGACCACTTGTTTTCTCTGCATTCCAGACAGACGGCCAGTGGGGATTTCCCTTCAATGTCTATGGCAGTCTGTGTAAAACAATCGCAGTAGCATTCCACACTGGTTCAGACCAAAGTGTACCAAACTGCACCATTAGCTGCCAAGAACAGCAACAGTACTGGACCAAACATGCCACAATGTACAACCGTTGTTTGGCTTACAATAGCATGTATGATGCATGTATACCAGGCACAATGGACCATTGTAGCAGTTGTAAGCTATGGTTGTAGACTAAACAAGACCATTGTTGGCATTGTGATACCAAAGGACACCAACAGTGACCAACCTGGACCATCGCTATTCCTGGTTGCTGGAGAAGGTATTCCACCACCTCATAGTGTCCCGTGGCAGCTGCCAAATGCAAGGGGGTGGAGCCAGTGTTGTTCCTATAGCAGTAAACACATCATGTCATGTGACAGTCACATGTAGTTTGACTTACGCCACACTGAGGTCAGCCAATGCTTCCTCTACAACACCTTTACTACATCAACCTCTCCGTACCTGAGAAAAAGAAGATTCTCTATTGTTCTGCAGTTTTCGTTCGTTTCTTACCAGCAAGCATAGTGCAGAGGTGTCCACGAGTCAGTGTCTTTCTCGTTGGTAGGCACTCCGATTTTGACACATCTCCTCACTCCCTCCACGTCCCCCTCGCAGGCATGCTTGTGCATTGGGAACAGGTCGAGCCAGTCAGGCAACCTACACCAGACAGACAAGACAGTGTGTTTTTCTGGCTCTCTGCCACATGCTGTTGTGGGTAGCTATCCTCACCCGTCTCCCTCGACTTGGGCCGACCAATTTTCTCTCTTGTTCACCAGCAAGTTGTAGTCTGGAACTCCCTTCCCAAAGTACTTGTTCTCTACCAGAATGTCCACCTGTGTATTAGTACATCACATGTGTGCGTTGTCTCAACAATGTCTCGGGAATAAGGGTGGCCTAAACTTTTCGTACTTTTAGCAAGCAAGTAGGGGGAAGGATTGGCTAGTTAACCATCCTGAATATGCCGACTATAACTGGCGTATGCAGTGCACAGTAGTAATTGTGGAAAACACAGTGACCTACTTGAACAAGCAAGTTGGGGGGAAGGACAGTTCAACCAACTAGTTGGGTGAGTATCACAGTGGAAACCGTAACACATGGCTAATGGAGTGTTGTATTGTCTCACCTGATTGAAATCCACCCCGGAGGCAAACAGTGGGTTATTGACAATCATGTCTGCCGGTTCGTGGTCCAGCCTCACTAGGGAATCTTTGAGGCTAGCAACTGAGAACGCTGATGTGTCTAGTGGACGCTGAGAAGGAGTAGAGCTTGATGCAGGCCACATGCGCTTTCCGACTTCTATGACGTCGGCCGTTTTGTTTCTGTCTTCCCTTGTTTCCTCTTGGTTGCTAGTGGCAACGGCAGGGGGAGCATGGAGGGGGTTGAGGATGTGCATTTTCAGGCGTGACTCAAGACTTGGTGAGAAGAGATAGTTGATGCATCCTGGCAGGGCGTGTCGCTCCCTCAGCCACCTGAAAAGTATGACATAAAAAAAAATTGGGACTACTACTTTTTTACTTGTGAGCAGCATATCGAAAGTTAAGTTCTCTATTATACACAATATTTCATTGTCTTTGTTGCACGTATTTGATATGCCCACACCTTCTCATGACACGTATGTAACTCTTGTTCTTAGGTATATAAGATTCCTATGTTTATGATGGAGTCCAGGGTTTACGCTGTTAACTCACTTATCGAGGGAGGAGAGCATCTCTCTTGTGAATGGGTGGACTTTGACGGTCTCGGATGTCATCATTCCTTGGACCACTGCACTTAGATCATAGAACTGTGGGTACTCTGGGGCTGTTGGGTATCGAGCCACCACTGACGACTCTGCGGAAATGTGAACGGTTCCAGATTTCAGAATGAAACAATGAGTTTCTCTGTTCTCCTCCTCGTTTTGCTGCTGATGAGGTCAGTATCTTTACCTACTTCTCCCTATTCTGTTCGTACATTCATTCAGAGGCCAAATATCTTATAGAGTATAAAAGGTTGCAAAATCTGGGGTTCATATCCAGTGCAATTTTGGTGATGGGAGAATTCAGAATTGAAGAAGGCTATTTACCCCAAAAGTTCTGCACCTATATACACAGTACTGTAGTATATATATTATACTGTACCCCATATACCTCTGTTGGTGGTAAGTAGAACATGGCAGAGTGTGATGCCCGTGTCAACCTCGTGACCAGTGAGAGGATCAACAGTGTCTCTCCCTCCTCCGTGCACCGATAGAAACTCGGCTCTCCTGGCGGTCACTCCTGGCGCATCTTCCCCGAGGTTTGCCTGCTGCGCCAGCCGCTGCGTCCATTTTGCAGTCTCCTGAATAAGAGTCGTCGAAGGGTCTTGTCCACTGATGGCTGGGCCCGAGAATGCACCAAGGTAGCCCTTGAATGGAGCTGTGGGCCACCTGAGATATGGAGTCAGTGTTTCACCAACTTGCTTCATAAGTGGTGTAGCTATTGAAAATTTATGTGAATTTGATATAGGTATAATACATAGATACTGTAACGGGAAAGTTGCTACTGAAGGAGAAATGGTCATAGTAGCTAGCTATGCTCAAAAGAACTATAAGTTGGGTCTTCTAACTGCTGGATATACAGATCAGACTTACGTTCTAAGGAGAATTTGGTAGTCGGAGGGGTTGTAGGGGAGCAGTGGGAGGTAAGTGTGGAACTCTCGCTCGGGGTTCCGGCGGAGAATCAGCCCTGCCACCTTCAGTCCGCGACTACTGCTGAAAGAGAACGGAAACGATCTAAGCATGATAAACCAAGCTACGCGCCATATTTCAGGTATTTTAGAGTTTAGGCTGAATAAATATCCATTTATACCTGCTCTTTTGCTGGTCTACTGGCATCTTTCTCTGCAGAAAAACTCTACCAGCCACACCTACAGCAGCAGCTTCTGCAAAAAACAAGGGCGGGGCACTACGTTTTCACGCATGCGCACAAGGTCTGATTAGCGCATGCGCACATTACCATCGCTCAAAAGCAAGCGCTTAAGCGTTGCTGACGCAGCACAAAACACCCCGCCCACACTATCAAGAAGGACGACAGGATGCTACTGAGACTTCTTCGGCCCGTGCGACCAGTTTTGTGCCAGGTATTCCACTTTACCGACTGCACTCTTTCCCCTTACTCCCTCTCCACCTCAAAACGCTATCAAACTCTGCTGTGCGTGCGCTGTTGCTAAGAAGCTTCAACCCATCATTAGCTGTCTCTCTTTCTCTTTCCTGTGTGTGTGTGTAGGTGGCTACAAGTGGATTCAGGAGACAGTCAACTGTAACCAGCGCTCGATTCACTCTAAACGTGAGTCTGCACAAACCTCACCTGTTGTGTGTTTTATTTCATAATCCAGAACTACTTACATAACGCTGCATTGAGCCTGTTGCTTCAACCATAGCATAGCACTCTAACAGTTCTCAAACTTATAATCCAGTCCTATAGATAATACTGCACCTGCTCTATTTCACAATACGTGCTACATACATAATTATGCTCCACATTGCGTGGAGCCCTAACCATAGCTTGTTTCCTAATACTTGTCCTACAGAGCGATGTTTACAAGCTCCACGAGGGAACGACAGGGGCTTCCCTCGGCTCTGGACCCCCGCTGGAGGGAGAGATAACGAGGGAGGAAATGACAGGGATGTACTCTCTCATGGCCGCCATCAGAGAGCTGGAGACGAAGGCCGGGGACTTGTACCTGGAGAAGATCATACGTGGGTTCTTGCATCGCTGCAACGGACAGGTCTGTGCTCTGCGATAGAATATTGGTAGGGATCTGGCAAGCTAGTGAGAAAGCTAGATCCTAAGTGAACTACGTACTTTACGTTTTGTTGCTGCATTTGATTCTGCACATAAGTATATAGATCTATGCTTCAGGCTATAGCTCTTACACAATGTGTGTGCTGCTATGTTTACTAGGGGCAAAAGGTCACCAATTAAAGTCGTAGTATGAGTAATGTTTACCCTTATCCAGCTTCCAAACATTCCTTTATAATGTCGGTTACACCCCGGGGCGGCTATTTGTGCTGTCCTGATGTACTGTATAGCTGGAAATTTTTGCTGTCATCATTGCTATGCATCTTATCATTGTGTGTGTTTGTTTGTGTAGGAGGCAAGTATTGTAGGTTTGGAGTCCGCCCTGACCCCGGGTGACGAGCTAATCACTGCCTATCGTTGCCACGGCTACACCCACACTAGGGGAGTGAGCGTCAAGGAGATTATGGCAGAGCTAGCTGGTGAGCCAGTTACACAGCGAAACGGAAGAGAGAGAAGAAAGAGGGATTGAGGGATGTTTGTTATTCTCCAGGGAAGGCTACCGGGTGTTCCAAGGGCAAAGGAGGATCCATGCACTTGTACGGACCTCACTACTACGGAGGAAACGGCATTGTCGGAGCTCAGGTTTGCCTGCGTGATCTATTTACACCACATAGTTTCCTCTCATAAAACAATCACACACTCTATATTCCACATTATTCCAACTTTTCTTGAGGGTGAAAAACCACAAAAACTTAATTTTCACATTCCAGCCATATAGGTCCCTTTTCCCATGCCACCTCACATATATTTAGCTGTCAATGTAGCAGCACACTCAGTGTAGTATAATTATAGTTTTATAGAGTAGGGTACTATCAGCTGTCATGAAGCTCATTGCCTGAACAGGTTCCACTGGGTGCCGGCATAGCCTTCACCAACAAGTACAATGAGACTGGTAAAATCTGCGTCACACTCTACGGGGACGGAGCTGCCAACCAGGGCCAGGTGTTCGAGGCGTACAACATGGCCGCCCTCTGGAAGCTTCCCTGTCTGTTTGTGTGTGAGAACAACCTCTACGGAATGGGTACATCGTCCACCAGATCCTCCGCATGTCCAGAGTACTACACTCGTGGACACTACATCCCTGGAATATGGGTGCGTCGTAATAATGTCGGTGAGAGCCATTAGAGTATAGAAGCCACCTTCTAAAGTTGTGTCTGTCTGTTGTTATTATAACACTGTGCTGGTTGGCAATTTTGCCTCAAAATGATGACAAGCGAAATAAAATTTGGCAATTACACGCAAAACTGCCAATAATGGTAGAGCATCAGTTTTATAGCTCTCTGTCTCTGCCTGTGGTGTGTATAGGTTGATGGTCAGAATGTGCTGGCTGTAAGAACTGCCACCCAGTGGTGTGCCGACTACATTAGAGCTGGAAACGTGAGTCCTTGCCATACTCGCACACATCACCGAGAAAACTCGTCTGTTCCCCTAATCACAGGGGCCGCTGGTGATGGAGCAGTTCACCTACCGCTACTATGGCCACAGTATGAGTGACCCTGGGAAAAGGTGGGGTATATAATACGTACCTACTACACCACCGCAAATCAGTAGCTTCTGAAAAAAAACTTTACCCAGTGTAATTTTTAACCATTGGTCCAAAATTCGACAATTTTATGTCAGCACTCATAATTCTACCCAGTGAAATTTGTAACCATTGGTCCAAAATTCGACAATTTTATGCCAGCACTCATAATTTCAATGGTCTGGTCTCCAGTATCCCTTCATGATGCAGCCCTGTCTCTCTCTCTCTCTTTTCTCTCCAGCTATCGTTCGGCGACAGAAGTGAAGGGAGTTCGCGAGACGAGAGATCCTCTAAAGAAATGCGAGGAGTTGGCTCTGGAGCTCAACCTCATGACCAGCGACGAAATCAAGGTATATACTGTACACCTCATACATAGAGTGTTACATACATATACATCACAACAGAGTGTGTTGTGAACACAACCATATTATTGTAGCGGGACGAGTTTCACATAATGCACAAATACAATGAGCAATGAGTGATTGGGACACAAATATGAAACAAAAACTGCCAGCTTTACACTTTTTGAGGAGGCAGTACATTATACATTTTTGGGAAAATAGACAGACATCCATAATTTTGGTGGGGGACCCTGACAAATTAGGCAAGCACCAAACCTCCGCAGAGTTTTCGTTGGGGACCTCAAAACTGGGCACTGTGTGAGACCATTATTTCCCCCTCATAACAGGCGATAAAGAAAGACGCGGCAAAGACAGCGGAGGAAGCGGTGGAGTTTGCTCACTCCAGTCCCCACCCGCCTCCTGCCGACCTGTACGCACACATCTGGTGGAGCAGAACGAAGTAGTGCGAGGCTGCGACCCTTTCACCAGCAGTCACAGCAGCTAGCTATACGCTGACAGACAAACAGCACCATTTATTCCTCTCTAGATAAAACTGACAGAATTATTTCTTGATCTATATTATATAACACACACAGTCATCTCTTGGTGCACGGAAAATAATATTGTAGTGCCATCATTGTGAATAATATTTATTTTCGTCATACATACGTTGTCATATTCTAGCTTATAACTTTTACTGAAGTGCCTGACAGTTGCAAAAGCTGTTGTTCTAACGCAGCACAGCTAGGCACACGAAATAGTCTTATTCAAGTTATGCAAGAATGATAGGTTAAAATGGTGGACTTCATCACACACAACACATATACACGTTACAGTTTGCCTGATGACAAAGCCTGTAGGGAATGGGTATGTGTGTACATAACTAAATGGCGAGTCCATAGACTACCACAACACAGTACATAGTCTTGTTCTCCCATCTGATTGTACAGCTTCCTGCAGGGAGGGAGAGAGAGAGTGTGTGTCAGTGTATGAGTGAGTGAGAAGGAAGAAATGAAGAGATTACGGTATGTAGTTGGAAGATCATAAGGGAGTGGCTAACAGACCGTCTGTGGAGTTGTCCCAGTAACAGGAGCTAGCAGTGTGCAGCCCAGCACCTGTCTTCTGCATTATGATACAGTTGACTGAAGTGGAAAAAGGACAGAGTGTAGAAAGGAAGTCAAGGCTTTTTGAAGTTCATCCCTCACCAATATACTTGAACGGTTTCCCAAGCTTGGTGAGGTTGTTGAGGCATTGCTCCACTACCCCCGAGGTCCACTGGTTTACCTTGTTGTTCTGGTACGACGCCGCCCCTAGTATGTTCTCAACCGACTAGAAAAAACAAACTTAGTCTAGAGGTGCGCTTTATTTAGAACGTGGTATTTCGAATTCCCGTTTGCGTTTGCTTTCATGTACACGCTCACACACAGTCGTACATACCTCTTGTATGATCTGCTTCACTTCTTCAATGACGAATGTAGTCTATACAGAGAGAGAAAACCGCGACGAGACTAAAACATCGTCAAATACTTCTAGCGTTTAGCTTTTAGACAAATATACGAATTGTATACCTCTTCTGTTCCTTCCCCTTCTTCCATGATCGTGTCTTTCCCTCTGTGTGATCGCTGTTGTCTGTTCTAGAAAGGCAACCGCAGAATTCCACAGTGGACCTCCTTTGGGGCGGTTTCCACGTAACGCTCCGGATTCTCTACGCATACTTTAGGATATTGTTACCCGCTCGCTTAATGTACCGGATACTCTCCGCATACGCCAGGAAATTGTTACACGCTCGCCACCTTTGATCAGCAAAGGGCAAAACCCCAGGTTGGAAGAAAGCCCCAAAAGGCTGACACGCCAGATTTAGTACGTCGAGACGGTCAGACGGGATCAAAACAGCCACCGGCAAGGTACCATTCTGCTGTGTTTGTTCTCGCAGAGTCCAGAAGTACGTGCTTGTATCCGTGTTCACAAGCAAGCTCAATGCTTGTAGGGTTCCGGGCCTTTTAGCGCTCGAAGTGCCCCGAGAGCCAGCAATACAACCTAAAACTCTTGGTTACCTAACACAAACGTATGTATTCTGCAATTCTTTAGGTGGCAAACCGTTTTGACCTTGGGTAGCCAGTGTGTAGCACTCCAAAAGGTTATTTTCTCTCTCTCTCTCCTTCCCAGTGTAATATTCAATGGCTGGACGTGCTGCTGAAGAAGAAGGCATGCTCTTTGCCTGCACACACTGCCACAAAAGAGTCAAATTCGAAGAGCTTTCGGCCAACCAGCAGCTGTGTAAAGTAAGGCTCCCATCGTATTCTCCCATTCACCTATGATGCTACGACTACACACTGGGCTTCTACATACATTCTCTAATCCTCAGTCTATTGCTGTATCGCACTCGTCTCTATTCTGCAGGACTGTCGCAAGAAATATCCCCTGGTCACTTGTACATACTGTCGCCTGGATTTCCATCCTGTCAGGTGCGCGTTCTAATCCACCTTCTCTTCTTCCATTCTATAAAATATCTTTCCATTCTCCCAAATGAATTTGCCAGTAGCGGTAAATTCTGAGACTATCCCAGTCTGTATAATAATACTGTAGTGAAATGCCAAACATTCATTCCTGGCTGTTTTCTAACAATAGGTTAGTATGTGAACTCATTTACTATCCCTGCCCACACAATGTAGCAGTAGACTGTTGAAGATATAGCCCAATTAGTCCGATTTGATTAGCAATTACCGGGAGTCACTCTCCTGCACAGGAATGCTCAGAACAGAGATTCCAGACCAGCCTGTGATCACTGTGCTAAGGACTTCAAGCAGTATGGAACGGTAAGTCAATGGACACACTCCTACATAATATGTAACTGGCACACTACTGTAATATTGCTCTGTACATATTATCGCAGCCTTCATTCTGCGCTGTGTGCAACTTGCAGTCTGCCTTCAATAGCAGAAAGTGCACAAGGTAAGAATGTTAAATCTTTTAATCTCTCACTCGCTCCCTCCCTCCCTCTCTCTTGCCCTCTTTCCTCCAAAGATGTGCACACTCTGAGAAAAAGTACGGGTCTCCGGTCTCGTGCGAGCAGTGTAAGATGGTGTGTGCCTTCAACAAACCGGACGACGTCAAGAGAAAAGTACACGATCTACAATAACAGTCTATGCCGTGGTTTTCCTACACACTGTCGTCTGTTTCTAAAACACACTCCATTATTCAGTATGCGGTAATCAACATGTACGTAATATGGCTTGTGATTCATACCACTGCCAAGTATCACAGCTGTCTAATATCCATTTCATCTGCATGTACACACAATTAGTTTAGTGCTAATGCTCATTATTGTGTCAGTAAATTTTTATTCAAAAGCAGCAAATTTGCAAATAAAACGATTTTGCAGATTGCCCATCCGTGGGGAAACACCTGATAAACTAAGAAATTTGCAAGAAAATGTTTTCCCTGTCATAAGTTTCCTGCTCTGACGTGCAGGTTGGCGGACAGACGCTGTGTCTGTTGTGCACCATAAACTTCAAGAAGGCCCAGTTCAAGAGAAAACAGCACGAGAGGAAGAAGGACCCGCAGAAACCTCCATCGACGACCACACCTAGTACTAATACTGCTGCAGTGGGAAACAGATCGCTCAAACACAGAGATAGACACAGAGACGACGAGTAAGGAAATCAGAACTCTACTTTTACCTTTTTTCAGTCACAGCTAGGAATCAGAGGGGTTGCTGCTTTATTTTATCCCCCTGCTTTCCCTCTCTTTTTTTTTACTAAAGTGTGTATGGTACAATTGATGCTTGTTTGGGAGTCAGTCAGTGTGTGGGCAAGTGGCTTGTCTACATACACATCCTTATCTTCTGCTTATGCTAAACCCTGCATGTGCCAACGAGGTATGATGGTAGAAAGGCAAGGCAAAGCAAACAAGGCAACTACCTTTGGCTTGTGTTTGTTGACACACCTCTGATGATATCCACCGTTACTTTCTCTGTGTGTTGTTGGCTCTCCATTCTTGCGTTCATGTGCGCGATTGTCTCTCTCTGTTGTTGATGTATGTATTACTGACGTGTGTAGATCCAGTGCCAGTAAGAAGGCCAAGCTTGACCTCCCGCCACCTCCATCTGATGCCACCAGCTCTCCTCAGTTCTTCTCCACACTCACCAGGTACCACTGTATTACTGTATGCTGGCGTCAAGGCACATTGTGTCTCTTCGTCCTTTATTACAAACCTAAAAATTATGCAGTACTATAATAATTATTATATAATACACAGAGACTCTCAACCAATTGATCTGATCTCTTCCAACCATCTCATGGAGACTGACCGACTCTACAGCGAGGTAAGGCAAACGTATTTTATTTTTAACAAATGAAAATTTCGCAACGGACGTTTTCTGAATTGCTTGTCCTAAAATTTAGCAAAGAGAATTTTCGCATACAATGAGCTGCGAAATTAACAGACGTTTTGTTTCTTGCTCTGTGGCATTGATTACTTTCTACCGTTGTGTAATGTGCGTGTCTGTCTCTCTTTACCAGATTGCAAGTCTGAAGAAACAAGTGGCCCAAAAGGAACAGGGTCTGTTAGACAAAGATAAGCAGGTGGGTGATTTTTTCTCTTGGCAAAAGTATCCAGTAGAACCCTTCTCTAAGAACCCCTGAAGAAATGAGGACACCTCTCTAATAAGGACACCTTTCTCTGTTGCATGTAATTTAACCCCTGAAGACACCTTACGTACAATAGACACTATACTGTATGAATGTAAGTGATGGTGGTTGTGTTCTGTGGGTGAAAATGGTAGATATGTCAGCTGAAGGCAGAGACAATGGAGAAAGAGAAGGAGTTTAGGACAAAGTTTCAGAGTCAACTAAAGTCACACTCTGACAGTGTGGAATCATTACAAGTAAGATCTGTGCTGCATAAATCTCTGAAGTTGAAACTTAAACTTTGACAATAGCCATTTTGTGAATGAACGAAGCTAGCTTACTATATATATACCTAAGCAGTTCAGCATGTGTTAGTGGTGCACACCTGCTGTTACTTCTTGACTTATTTGCAGGCGGAGATTCGAAATCTCAGGAGGCAGCTGTCACAGTCTTCCCACAAGTCTTCCAGCTCTGTGTCTGCCAAGGGGACCGGCTCCGCGGCAAAAACTGGCTCCTCCTCCTCCTCGGCCCACGCCAGCCTCGCTGCCGCCCTAACGAGCGGGGTCTCCTGAATGTCATCATAACTCTCTCTCTCTCCTCACATTTTTGTACATTACCTTTATGTTCATTCCCGCGCTCTCTGGCCCTCTATATACATTCCCTCAAAGTCTCTTCTGCTGCTCAAGTCTCGTCTTGTGTGGCGAATTTTGTGCGCATGCGCGTAAACAACATCCATAGCAACCGGACCCGGACCCCCGTACGTGTGCGCGCGCAGCCAGGTATGCACAGAAAAACGTCGTCGAGCGGGAAAATGCAATCCAGGCTCAGTTTGACGGGAGTTTTATTGGCCACAGCCTGCCTGCATTTCGTCAGGACAGCCAAACTAAACGATGGGCCTCCGAAAAAGTATGCAATTCAAGTGCAGGTTAGTTTACAAATCCGTTTCATGCGCTGTAGCTATACTGGCACCACTTACTGTTGTTCTGCATCTTTAGGACTCATACATCGACGAGGTACCAAAGTTTGGAACAGTGATAAAATTCAGTATGTAAATCTGCATTCGGCCTTTATGCATGTAGACCTATAAATGATAGTGTTCTCTCTCTAGATATTGACATGGCAAACACTGCCGAGGGGAAAGCTCCGTATGAAGTCACAATCTCCCCCGACCTCTGCTGTCTGGAAATATCCCAGAATGACTTTGATTGTGACGTGAGCTACCACTCTAAAATCACTAAGTATAGAGGGATGGGCTCCATTACAGATGTATGGGATTATGATAGACTTTTCTCTCTGCTTGTGCTACTATGTCAGTCAATGCAGCTGCGACCCCCAAAAACACTCCACTTGGGCCAGATTGACAGATTCGACAACAAGACCGGAAGTGTTTCTTTCCTCTTTCGAAACTTGGTACATGTCATATATGAATGAGAAAAAGTTTGTTCAAAAGTCTACTGATGCATCAACACATGTAATATGCTAGCTCCATAGCCCCCTGGTGTTTGATTATTGTACAGGAAACTCCTTAGCTGTATGTCTTTCCTCTCTGCAGTATTGTAGGTTCAGGAAAGGAAACTGCACATTCATTATCTCCACTGAGGGAAAGTCGCCCACCACGTGGAAACACACCATTGTCTTGAATACTTATCCTCCAGAGGACGATGAAGGTAAGGACCAGCATTCCTAGCGGTCTGATGGAATAAAGTTCTCCATCAGTCTAATGGCAGAAGGTTTCTAAGTTCTCATGTACGATATACTGTACAAAGAATTTTGCCGCACTATTTTGTCAATCTCTTGTTCAGATTATGACCAGTGTGCAGGATTGGACCAGGTAATTAAGCCTTTATAGCTCCCTTAGTGTCTAGCTACCATATTTGTTTGTATTGTGGTATATAGGACCCGGACCGGTCTTGTTCGCCGGTCGACTGTGCCATCAAGTACAAGGGGAAGCGAAACCACTACAACACAGTCACTGGTCACTGCGAGCCAGTGGCTAAGTGCCACACTCGAGCACCTGACAGAGTCACCATTATAGCAGTGAGTCCTGTAATTCCACAATCTTTGTAGAACACTCCGGGAAAAAAAACTCTCGATAAGAAGAGACTCTTTGAGGTCCCAAAAGCATTCACTTTATTCTAGACCTCCAAAGAGAGGACAACCTCCCTACAAAGCACAAAATGCCTGATCCCAATCTATCCATTATTCAGAGGTTCCACTGTATATATAAACATCTTGTGTGTGCTTGTGTGTATCACAGTACTATGATACGGAGCAGAACCTGTGCCACAGCCTCGATCTGAACAGTAGCGACAACACAGTCTACCTGTCAGAGCTCTCCATTGCCAACCCAGCCGACAGGGAGCTCATGACATCTCTACTGGCCTCTGTTGACGGAGAGAAAGTGGTGCGTCCATGTGTAGGTGTGTGGGTTTTTGGAAGCATTACGTCATTATTATGTCATGGTGGGTGGCAGCACTACTGCTTCATCTTACTCTTAGCATATCCAGTGGACATGGAGTTGCTTCCTACTTATATATTTCCTGTCAGTAACTTCTGTTCACTGCTTATTATAGTCTAACTGCATGAGGCTGCTTTATTAGGTCTATCTACTTTAGCTACAGTAACCAATGTGTTCTTGCTAGTCACAACAAAAGGGTACCATGAATGCATAGAGCGGAGGATTTTGTCAATGTCTGTAGAAAATGGAGGACATAGCATTGGATGTGATGCTGGGGGCAGGGGCGCCACTCGACTGCAACCACGGAATGCAGAAGGGGGACGTCTGTCTGTGTGATCCAGGCTGGGTCTCCAGTGGACTGGACTCCAAACAACACACCCACTGGTGCGACGTTCTGGACGACACAAACCACCAGGTCTCGACCGGTCCCATACGACTCACCTACATTCAGGAGCTCTGCGCCATCTTTGTATCCTCCACTGCTTCGACTTAGCCCTTATCTAACACTATCTGTCCTCACGTGCCTCCATTTTGGTATCTCACACTTTGTGTTTAGTCCTCTTTTGCCTTACATGTTTCCGTTTATGCCTCATGCTATAACATCAATGTGATTTTATGCATTTTACCCAAGTACTTATAGCTAGGTCCATTTCCAGCGGATTATCTTGACTCTGTACCAGGCTCTCTCAGTGGTGAACCTACTACTGTTTGTTGGTTGGATTCTCCTGGTCACCTTCTGTCTCTGTTGTAGAAACAAGTGTCGTGCTAAATCCAACACCAGTGAAAAACTATAATAGATGCACACCACACGCATAATGCAATGCAGCTCATTATCAATGTCACTGTCGATCAAAATGAATAAACTTGTGTATGCAGCTAGAGCTAGCTCATAATTATTACAAAAATTGATGGCAAAATTCAGCATGTGAAAGTATGCATCGTGATAGAAAGAGGGCGTAATGTCAGAAACCCTCAAATCTGCAGGAAGAGAACTCATTGGAACTTTCTGCACCTTAGTACAATCACATTACCTCTGTGCTTTTGCATTCTTTACAGTCGGGTGCTCTCTCTTTAGAGGGAAGCATACACTGCATATTGTAGTGTATATACTTCTCAATGTGTGACTATAAAAAGAGATTATGGCCATACCATTCTCGTGTGTGTGCCTTTAGCTTTTGGGGCTGACTGAAGTACAGTTTCCTATAGTGTTCTTTCTTAGCTGCATCTTCTTTAGCTTGCTCCCTTTTCTTCTGTAACCACCTGGAAAAAAACACGAAATCTTGTAAAATGACTGCAACTTTGTATTTATACTTGGGCAACTTTGTTTTATTGAGTCCATGCAACTACTTGCTCTATGCATTGGCCCATCATACCTATACATTGAAATCATATGGGACGTATCAGTTGCACAAAGTTGCACTGTGTATGATATACGTATGCTGCGCCTGAATTTCAAGCATGATGGTAGCTAGCTATAAAGCTCACTCTTTGTAGACTCCATCTATTACACTGGTGTCAGCTTTCTTGGCAGATTCCTCCATTTCCTGGGTCTTCATTCTCTCTCTCTTAGTCTCCTCCATGTGCAGTGTTCTCTTTCTCTCCAACCAGCTCTCAAACACCTGCCGACATTGCTCCTCGTCCTTCTTTGGGACACTTGTTGTTGGTCGAGAGAGTCTTTGAGATTTCAGCTCCCTTTGCTTGGCCTCGACCCAGTTCTGATAGACTCTATCACACATTTCTCTCTTCTCTTTCTCGCTCACTCCAACCGTTGCACATTTCAACTTTTCCCTCTCGATTTTTCTTCTCTCCTCGTCTTTTCTTGCAACCCAGGCGTTGAATGCCGCCTCGCTCATTTTATTTTTTCTCTCTCGTTCTTCCTCGGCCTCTCGCTTCTGCTGAGCAAGTTTTGCTGCTCGTGACGAACCGGGCGCTGACTGCATCCGTATCTGCTGTTTTGGCTTCAAATCTGGCTGCTCTTTTGGGGCTTTCACTGCTGGTAGAGTTTCAATAGGCGTACAACTAGCCGTTGGATCTATAGACTGCGGCCTTTGAACACTGCCATCATTTTGCTCGTTCTTGTTCTCTTGCTCTTGTGACACATCACGTATTATAGCATCTCTGCTGCCCAGATCAGGTTGCACTACAAGTGAACTGGTTGAACCCGAGTCGTCTTCTTCTGTTTGCTTGGCGTCTTCTTCCTTACAAGTCGTGAGACTCTCTGTTTGATCTCCTGACAAAGTGACAGTGTTCTCTCGTGGATCTGTAGTTCTCAGATCAGGTTCTAATTCCTCTGACGGTGCCGTGGGCTGAGACTGCTGCTCGGGTTCTTCCTGCTCAGCCGCCTGCAGGTCCACTGCACTCAACACCTCGAATTTCCCGTGTCTCTCCATCACCATCTCCTGCAGATCCTCCTCCTCCATTGAGTTCGTAGCCGCCGGGCTCAACTGCAGCAGAATGGGGGCGGGGTCGTGTTTAGTATCCTTGGTAACCTAAATGTGGGCGTGGCTACCGCGCTGGGGCCGGGGGGGGGGGGGGGGGGGCGTGACGTCAGGTAATTAGCGTATAACGCCCCTGTCTGGCGCAGAGCAGACAGTTTTTGCAGTGAGTCAGTTTTGTGCATGTGTAGACCGTAGCGCGTTTGTCCCGAGGTACTAGGTGGGTAAGCGGCTATCTCGGCGACTATGGAGAAGTTGTCTTCGTGCGTGTTCTTGCTGGTGGCGATCTTTCTCGTTCAAAACGTGGCTCTCGCCGTTTGGCCAACCCTGTCATTCTGCGGCCGTGACGAGCCTTCTGAGGACAGAGACTCCAACAACACGGGTGAGACTTGAGTTATGTGAGCTGCTGTCGTCTGTGGGATGGCATACCAGGCAGTCAGACCTTTTGTCCGGATCGGGGAAGAGAGGGGCGGTAGCTACTAGCTAGATGGTAAACTTGCGAAAACCACTCGACGCAGCCACCGGCCTGTACCTTTAGCTGGCTGCATCATGCTCCCAAAAAGTGCCCTAGCTAGCTAGCTAAGTTTCTTACGGCTGTTACTATACTGAACTTCCCTTCCCTCTCTACCTTTCGCCTCACAGTTAACCTGACCATGGACGATGAGAACTATTGTATTCCTACTGACATTCCGAAGCTAAACGCTAAATCTACGTACTACCTGCGTTCGCGGGAGAGGTTCTACGTAAACATCAGCGGCGTATTCGGTGGAAGCGGCGCTGTGGAAGTGGAGGCGGTGCAGCAGCAAGCCGACGTTGGTGTACTGAGAAATTCATGCATACTTGCAGAAGACGACAAGTACTTCGTAAAGTTTTTCATCGATGAGGACGCAGTGATTGCCCCGGAGAACCGGCTCTTTTACCTGAACATTGGAACAGTGGAGAGGCGCTTTCTATTTCAATTCTGTAAGTAAATGTCAAAGATTTTTCTGTTTGACAAATAACTCTCTCTCCTCTCTCTCTTCTATTGCTGGCCCAGATCCAACAGGATTGAACCTGGCTGACCAACGACCCCTCCAGACCACCTACACAGTTGATGAACTGCCTCTTCCTATCCTGTCTGTTTTAGTGCTGAGCGAAGACAACAAAACTGTCTCCATCTTCGATTATAAAGTGTGTAAAGTCGAAGGGAACACATATACACTCATTGAGGGATCTCTAGTGTTCGATACAACATCGTTGGAAGGCATTTGCAACACTTTTGACTTGGATGAGGGACTCTTACGAGCAGGGAACCTGAAATTATCCCCGAAGGGGGATTTAGTTGACCTGCTCTTTGAGGATAGTCCCTCGATTCGAATTGTCGCCGTACCAGGCAACTGCAATGACAGCGAACTGCAAGACTCTGCTCAAGTCATAACCATCGCCCGTAAGTCAAATAACTGCGCAGATACTTATTGCACAATAAGAATCTACACCTGGCATCTTTGTTATACATGTACCCTTAACTCAACTTAAAATTTTTCAGGATTTGCCACTACGTCGTCGACCACCATGCAGACACCAACGCCCACATCAGGTACGATTAAAATTCCAGCTCAAGAAGAATGCTTTGTTCAGAGTATAGTTGCTAGTAGGAAGTGATTTCATACTGCACCTTCCTGGGTAGGTTCTCCCCTAGTGTGGTAGGGGGGAGGGAGTCACAAGTTTTACACACACTTGCACAGTAATATGTCCATTTAGTTACATATGTACATGTATACACCCTGAAAGGGGGGCGTATGATAGAATGACTGGGTTGCTAGGGTGATCACTACCGACTAGAATGTTAGGTATACATTGTCCTAAATCTTTTCCTTCACAGTATATACCACTTTGCATATATACATCTAGTCTATTCATCCTATGATGTAATGCTTTTGAGTTATTTTTGGACCTCTACTAGAATTTGATGTGGGTGTGTGTGGTATGTATGTACGGAATAGCAGCTGCTTGTGTGACAAACATTACCCCACTCCCTCCCCCGCACTCCCCCTCTCTCCCTCTCCCACTTTAGGAGGAACAGACTCAACCAATACTCCGACTGGAAACGGCGGATTGAGCGGTAAGCACGACTGAAGCACACTGTTGTAGCAGCCCTGCACGTGGTTACTGAGTTTATCAGTGGCTAGCAGTGCTGTAACAGCTAATGAATGACGCTAACCTACTGTTTGTCACTCACTGTACACGCTTTTAGACAAGCACCATCGTTTGGTTTGCTAAAACGTGTGCCTTGTTAGCGAACATGTTGTTCAGGGCCTGTCTGACATGCATTCCTTCTCTTGGCAAAGAAGATGTTTGTCTACAAGTGCCTCATCAGCTGATACAACAAGATTACTAGATCCATTTTTCAACTAGTATAATAAGTATTCCATACTATAACTCCGATTAGTGCTCTAGGTGAGTGCCATACGCTGCTCTTTTTAAGTCTCTAACCCCAGAATTTTTAAAGCCATTGTGCTAATGTTTTTTTTCAGCTGGAGCAATCGCAGGAATCGTGATAGCTTCCACTATCATTGGAGTGGGATTTCTGGTAGCCGTTATTCTTGCAGCCGTTATTCTTGTTTTGAAGCGCCCCGAATGGTTCAAGACCATTAGAAGGCCTCCAACAGGTAGGCTATAGTTTGTTTTGGTTGTGATGTCATAATTGATGACATCATATTTCTTATCTCAGAAACCGTGCTTTCTCATGTTTCTCCAAGTGATCCAGAAGCCGCGGTGGAACAGCCGAAAGACACAACAGAAGAAATTGGTGAGCATATTCATGTACCGCGAGTTTCCCTTCCTGAGTGAGGTCATAATGATGTCATTACATGACTCAGCTGTACAGCAAGCTTTTATCTGTGTCTGTATACACCGAAACCTCTGAAAAAGGACCCTCTGAATAAAGGACAATCTCTATAAAGGACATCCCACCCATACTAGCATAGTATTATTACTTATAGAATATGCGCACGTACATAGATTTTTCCGTCTCGCGCTGCCAGGCACTGCACAGTGTCCCGCGTGCGCGCGCTCATACTGACTGCGCGCGAAGCCTGACTTCCTACGAATCTGCGCGCATGGAGCGGAAGATTACACATTCCTTTTGGTGGTGACTAGTTGACATCCTAAGCGTGACTAATGTCGGACGACATACGTACGTACGCATATAGCGCGAGATACAACCCGGAGTCGTAGTTGCTCACGCTATAGCGCGCAGTCGGCACTTACGTCCCATGATCTCCGCGTTGAATTTGATGTCCTCAAGGTGTGTCCTTTTTATCAAGTTTTAACTGGACACTCCTCTCCACCCAGAGTGACACAAACGCATTTGTGTTCTAACCTGTGGCCACGACGGTGACGAACTGGCGGATCTACTTTACGATGGTAACCCCGGAACCATCCCTGAGAGTGCTAAAAAAAATGCTCACCAACTAACTGCCCTCATAATGAAGGACAACTGCCAGTTTTTCTATCTCGTTCGCCACGTAAGTCGAGAGGAACTCCGCACGGCGAACGAAACGGCTTGGGAACTCTTGAGGGACTTCAACACGCGATTCTTCCCTTCCAAAGTACTTCAGAAATTCATAGACGTGTGGGTGTTTGACGAAAATAAAGTCGTAGGAGGATTCCCGGAATTGGTCCTGGGGCCGATACTAACGGTAAATGTGTCCCTGAACAAGTGGCGGGGGAATATGAAGGGGTGCGCGCAGTTGGTTCGTTCGAAAGCCCGGACAAACATTGACAGTCCGGACGGAATGTTCTCAGCAAGCCACACTCCGTCGGCCACAGAAAGCCCGCCAAGACTCTCTTCGGTCTTGACCAACTCAGACCAAAATCACACCACAGGTCGGGTAATGGAAGCCGCTGAAGTACAAACTGCCGCAGCACCCGAGCTTCGTCAAAGTCCGGGACCCCATCCCCCGCTCTACCAGCAACCACGCAATCAGGATTCATCTCAAACCCCTCACCAGCAATCACCTCAGCCTCCCGAACAACTGCCACCTCCGTACAACAACGGCACACATCCAGAAACTGACACGGGGGGATTTCTCAAAGAGATTCTTTACGTGCTGAAAGATATAAGAACCTCCGGAGGAAGAACTGCTACTGCGGCTGAACAAAGTGCCCAGAATACAAGTTTGGTGAGAGAGAGACAAGGGGAAACACTGGCACTTACAGAGGAAATCCACGACACAGTCACTGCACCTCCAGAGGACACTCATGAGGCGACCTAATGCACACACATCACCACTCACCACCTGCACTCTGTTTTCTCCAGTCTGACACTGTATATCATCATCATCTGCCGACATCATCACACCTTTTTCTTCGACTCTTTTTTGTTTCTGTAAAAAGCCCCTTTCGTTTGTTTGTTTGTTTATTGTGAGCCTTGTATACATGTGATAATAGTTATGCGCTTATCTCATAACCGCATGCGCGCTTACAGTCACGTGTAAAGTACAAAGGTCGACAGCTGCTTTTTGGAGAGATGGCGAAGATGGACCTAAGCGAGCTGTTTGCTGCTCATCGAGGGATCATCTCGGAGAAGATAACAGAGAGAAAGGTCCGGGCGTCCATTAGCATGCGATATCTCGTCCCGTTCCAGCCTAGAAAGATCCGATCGATGCAGAATATACCCTGTGCGTTTCAGGCATGCGCGACACAACTCATTCCGACTCCGTTAGAATGACAAGAGACGAATGCAAAACCCCGCTGTAGGGATTTGGTTGGGTCGTGCAGCAAGTGTCCGTATGAAACTGATATGTCAATAGTTCACAGGAGTTCTGTTGCAATGATATATAATGTGTATTAGCTGATGTAAAGTTCAAACAAACCTTCATGATGTATATACTGGATGTACTGGCATTATACCCTCCAGAAAAGTGCCACGGCCCTCCGCGAGCTGCTAGAGTCAGCCCCCATCGTTGACTACATAACGGCCAGCACGAGAGGCGTTCAGACGACCAAGTCCAAACATGGTGCCGGCCAGTCACCCCTGACCTGGTCCTCCCTCTTCCGGAACGTCGTCGGCTACATACTGAAGGAGGGCGATGCGGTGGCTAAAATGGAGGAGAAATCTCGCAGTAGCTCCACCATCACCACAAGGAAGAAGGTGAGCCGGCGTGAATCTTGTCGCCAAAACCATATTTTCGCCTGTGACTGGGATACTATCGACTGCAAAAAAAAAACCTCTTTCTCCATTCATGGACTCTGTTCGTGGATGAAATTGCAAGAGTTGTTGTGTTGTCAATGGAGTCCAGGTTGTTTGTGAAAATTTCACGAGGGTTCATCGGTTATCTCATAGAGAGCCTGGGAACAGAATGAAGTCTTCCTATAATAGCTACTGTGTTTACTACATAATAATATATGTGTGTACTCCATGGCTGTGGTTGTCTCTCTCTTACTCCTTTTCCCCTCCTACCTCTCTTCTCCCACTCACTCTCCTATGGGGTGGTATTCGTGTCAGTATTCAAACGTCGATTTTGCCGAGGCATTTCCGTTTTGCCGCGGCAAAATTAAACTGCCGCGGCAATTGCCCCGGCAAAACCTGGGCCGAAAAATCCGGGACATTTGCCGCGGCAAGAATAACTAGCTGGGCCATGTTCAATCGTGTCAGTATTCTTGTCGTTGCCGGGCCTTTTGCCGCGGCAATAGACCAGTTTCACAGTGGGCGGAGATAATTGAACGTGACGTCACATCCGGAGTCCCGTTCTGGCTCCAGCAATGTATTGAGAAACTGGAACCGTCCGTACTTAGAGCGGCGCAGCACGTAGCTCTTAGGAACAAGTTAGAGCGTCCGTTCTTTTTCTCACGCATTTACTACAGTTACTGCAATATCGCAAAAGTAACTTATAAATAGAGCATACCGTAAGAGCTACGTGCTGCGCCGCTCTAAGTACTGACGGTTCCAGTTTCTCAATACATTGCTGGAGCCAGAACGGGACTCCGGATGTGACGTCACGTTCAATTATCTCCGCCCACTGTGAGTGTGAAACTGGTCTATTGCCGCGGCAAATGGCAATTTGCCGCGGCAAAAGGCCCGGCAACGACAAGAATACTGACACGATTGAACATGGCCCAGCTAGTTATTCTTGCCGCGGCAAATGTCCCGGATTTTTCGGCCCAGGTTTTGCCGGGGCAATTGCCGCGGCAAAACGGAAATGCCTCGGCAAAATCGACGTTTGAATACTGACACGAATACCACCCCATACTCTCCCAGCCAGTGTCTCAGCCATTATATACCCACACACTAAATAACAATACAGACCTGGTTGGTATAATTATATGAAATTCACACAGAAGGGGAAGCCCCTGGGATTTACCCTAAACTCTTGAAATATACCACCTGAGGTGTTGTGAGGGTAGTTGCTTACAATGGCCTAATAATGCCTCTAGCAGTGTACCAAACTGTGTTGCCATGTCTTCCTTTCCTCTCCCTTCCACCCTCTCTCTCTTCTCTCTTTCTCTAGGACATGTCTGACATGCTGAGGTCATATATCAGAGCTGCCAACAAACGTGAGTATATATATAGTACCAAACCATGAAGCCGGGTAACAATGACTCTAGTACACCCTTGTCCACGAAACCCTCATGAATTACACTATTATAGTCTGTCGTAATTGTGTATGATCTCAGAGTCTACCATGCTGTGTGTACTATGTATATACAAGTTTCAGCACTAAGTACAGTAGTACTTTGTATATGTATGTACTTGGTATATAGGGTATGTACAAGTTTCAGCACTAATACTTAGTATATGTATGTACTTGGTATATAGGGTATGTACAAGTTTCAGCACTAAGTACAGTAGTACTTAGTATATGTATGTACTTGGTATATTGGGATTATACAGTAGTATGGAGTTAAGAGTGTAGCTCAGGGCGTAGTGTACTGGACACGAGCTGTTTCACCAGCCTGTTAGGTAGATCATCTTCCTGAAATAGGCTAGCTAATAAATGCAAATTGTATAAGTGCCCGGCTTCTGTTGCGTTGGCTGGGAAGTGTTAATTCGTTACTAAGAGCAAGCTCTTGAGAGGCCACTTGAGCCATGGTTACCTGCGATCCCTGTCAGGCACTGCCGAGAGTCCGAAGTCACCACACGCTAACTCTGAGAAGTCAGAAAAGTGATCCAAACAAACACTTTTCTCTCCTTTGTCGGCATATCGCCTCACCCTTGGGTGTATTTAGCACGTGTTTGCTGCACAGTACACAAATATGCCCACACACGCAGTCTAAATAATACTCTTGAGATGTTTTCAAGAGCTCTTCAATCTGATTACAGGTTTGCACAGGTGGTAAAAAGTGTGCAAACAGGCCACTTGGAATAGCAAACATGTCCTTACTATATACCTCCTTTGCCTAATTCGAGGTGTAATTCCAAATCCCGTATACAGAGGAAAATCTTTGGAAGGGGTATTTCATAATTACTGTACTATGAGAACCAACCTTGTTGGTTTTTTCTGCAAGAATTTGTTCCAAGGGACATAATGAATAGTAGGTTGACAGGACTTGAAAATTTTTACTTGCCCACTGAATCTTTAAAAAATTTCCCCACTCAAAATTTCCCTGCTATACCGTATCCCCTATGTTTGCCTGAAATGTGGTTCCCTATATTGAGGTCCCCCGAGTGATAAACAGTATCATGTATTGACATCTCTCGAATGTTTTCTCATGTATATATAAGGTTCCCACTCTGTTGTATATAGCACATATGTAAACCCAGCTCCAGTTTCCATTTGCTTATACCTGAGACGTGCATTCTGTTAGATTGAAGTCAGTTGATCAACGTTATCGTGTGTCCTTGTGTTTGTGCGTGCGTCCCCTGTTTTCCCACGAAAGGAAAAAAGGGTACAACTGGGGATAGTTCTTCAGTTCCTATGCATTCTGTTAGATATTGAAGTCAGTTGATCAACGGTATCGTGTGTCCTTGTGTGTTTGTGCGTGCGTCCCCTGTTTTCCCACGAAAGGAAAAAAGGGTACAACTGGGGATAGTTCTTCAGTTCCTATGCATTCTGTTAGATATTGAAGTCAGTTGATCAACGGTATCGTGTGTCCTTGTGTGTTTGTGCGTGCGTCCCCTGTTTTCCCACGAAAGGAAAAAAGGGTACAACTGGGGATAGTTCTTCAGTTCCTATGCATTCTGTTAGATATTGAAGTCAGTTGATCAACGGTATCGTGTGTCCTTGTGTGTTTGTGCGTGCGTCCCCTGTTTTCCCACGCGATACTTCAGTCCGGTTGGCAAGGTGATCACCACTATTGTATTATTGGCTTGGGAGCTGATCATGCACAGTACCTGTTTACCAGCATGTTCTGTAGAATTATGTGTGTGTGGGTGGATAGAGCGTTCTAGAAGCATTCCATGTTTAGCATGTTGCCATGGTATAGCTCAGGGGGTAGAGTGCATGCTCTGGCTAAACTGCATTGTTGTAGGTTAGGATCCCATCCAGGGCAACTCTCTTTAGGAGGTTAAGTTGTCTTGGGTATAGATAGATGTGTTGTTTCCAAGCTACCTCATTTGCATACTTTATTGTACCCCCATCAGTGGTGTGCTTCAGTGCATTCCACATCGGCTTATTTGGTCATTGTACGTAAGCAGCGTGTATGGAGATAGTCACCATGGCGACAGGATGAGCTCACTACTAAAATCTCTTGCGCAATTCAACTGGGAAATTGGATGCTACAGCAGCTGTGTGCATGTCACAGATTTGTCTATTGTGTGTGTGTGTGTGTGTGGCTGCTTGCTGGGATAACACACTAACACCATTGTGACCAATGGCAACGCCCCTAGTAAACATGCAGACACTAGTTTACATGTATGTCCACAGAATGTACATGCACTTGTATACTGTTTCCTGTTTTCTTGTAAATTTTTCGCTATACTTGTACAGTTCGTGTAGATCGTTGTTTTGATTACATGGGGCATTTATTGCGCAAATGTGTGTGTGTGTGTGTGTGTGTGGCAACATGTTAATATTCTATTCTCTGTCTAGTCTGTGCTCTGTGCAAGTAAGTATGCACTAGTCCGTTTTTGCCCCATCAGCACACTAATTGGGATTGACTTTCTAACACCCTTCCGGCACTTGTGGAGTTTCCTCTCCATTGCTATATTGTGTCCTGTTTGTGATCCACCTGTGGGTAGTCTACTTCCAGAAAAGATCAATAGTTATTACAAGCAGCACATTCCTATATAGTACTTATCCATGTATACATGTGTGTATATACATGTATACATGTTATAGGTGGTAGAGCTCTTTAGGTATTTCTTTGAAGTTGTAAGTATATATATACCTACCTTCATATTAGTGACCACAGCAGCTAAGTCTATGTACATGTAATTATACTCTCTGAGCAGATACTAACTATGGGCCATTGGATCTCTCGTGACTTGGGTAATTCAATTTGTGGACACACCACATGTGTGTGCACCTGGGTTTAATCTGAGATGGCGCATTCCTGTGCAGTGCAGTTGAAAAAAGATCTGCGTGTGTGGTTGACTGATCGAGTGTTTTGCTGTTACAACTCCCCGGTCCGATTGTGCGTGTGTGGGGGGACGGACAAATATTTAGAGCGGTTAATGTCTTGTATAATTGCCTTCGGGCTCTGGGGTCGCTAAATAATTGGTGAGCGAAGCGAGCCCACCTGTCGTGTGAATGAGTGATTTTCTTTATTTATATGTTTTGACCCGCACCGCCACACTGCACATACCGTAATGTTCTACGTCATTCTAAATACACCCGCTAGCTAAAAATTTACTGCTCTTCCTTCGCTCGCCAAAAAATAGTTATACGCTGCATTTCTTCCAGTTTCTTTTTTCTTTTTTCTTCTTTCCTCCTGCAGGGGGACACCATATGAATGTAGGGGAAGTAGTGGAGCATATATTGACAGTACTTCGGAGTCCGAGAATGGTGGTGTGGCTGTGCGGGGACTACAGCCAGATTCTACTGCACCATGTCCTGCAGAAGCCTCACCACGTGGTTCAGATTTCAGCCTCCTCCTGGAACGGTGAGACGGGAGATGGAGGGAGGGAGGGAAGGAGGGAGGGAGGGAGGGAGGGAGGGAGGGAGGGAGTAGCCAAAGGGAGAGACAGGTCCATGCAAGATTAGATATAAAGAGAGAAGTGAAAAGAAATGTCCAGTTTGCGAGTTGGTAAGAAGGAGAGAGACAGAGTGGAAAGAGAGAAGATGTCTAGGTTTCTGAAAATAGTGAGTTGGTAAGAAGGAGAGAGACAGAAGAACGAGCAAATGCACAAGTTGAAAGGCAAAAGTGTGCTCATAGCTACCAACTGAGAGGTATGGGAGAGAGAGAAATAGGGGAAGAAGAATCACAAAAGAACGGCATAGAGAGTCAGTGGGGAAAAGGAAAAAGAGAAAAATATAGGAAGACAATGGCACGTTGGGAAAGAAAGCATGCGAGCATGTGCTTTTCCCCTCGTGTTTGCGTACAAACCCTCAAGGAGTGTTTTCTAAGGCACGGCCACACAGAGTGGTTTCAATTTCGCAACACTTCCAAGCCTTTAGTATGACATAACAGCAGTGGCAACACGGACGCCTTTATAAGTCTGTTCTGCTGTCAGTGCACTAGTGGCTGTAGTATGTATGTATGTGCCCACTGACAGCTTGGGCTGTTGTTTTCACTTATCCCTGTGAGTCAGCGTGCTCTTTGATGTCCCCATGTTGCTAGGGTTACTCAGCCGTTGAGTCAACTCTGACCAGCTGTAATACTTGTGTGTGTGTGGTTGCTGCTTCAGCCTCCTTGGAATGTTGTGTTTCCCATATTTCCCACGTACCCTTGTCCTACAAGCACCCCCACCTCATATTGTCTCTCTAAAATGGAAGTCTGTTTGTATTGGATATTCAGTACTCTGCTTATATACTCTGTGAGAAAATAATTTTAACAATTGTGTTTTGAGTTTCATCTTTCCATGACCTCCAACTTTAAGTTTATTCTGCATATTTTCTTGTCTGTAGCACCCTATGTTTACTGTACCAATGGTTCTGCTGATTCTCTCCCATCTCTTCTCTCCCGACAGAGCTAACATCTCTCTACAGCAGTCTGTTCCTCTCGTCGTCTGCCTCCTGCGACAAGACCCTTCTCTCTCGCGTCCTCCTCTCCCTCTTCTCTCTCTCCTCCTCTCAGTCCGACATCGACAGAGCCACTCTCTTCGCCTTCTTCTCCAGGGCCATGCCTAGGATCGGGTGAGGGGACTTCTCAAATGCTTGTCTTTCAGCAAACTGAGCTATACCTCTCAGACAAAACCTGGTCTTCCCCATTCCCCTATAACATACTCTCTCTTCCCCTCCTGGCCTGTATGTATTTCTACCATTCTTCCAGTCATCCATCTACCATGTCAACTCTTGTTCTTTCCATCGCAGGAAAGAGAAGAAACCTAAGATTCTCGAAAATCTATTCCTCTCATTCTCCACCTACTGCACGACTGCGGCGCAGGACTCTCGCGGCCGGCTCTGCAATCTCGGGGAAGATGTCCTGCCCACCGTCCTCCATCTTTGGGGCCACTGCCAGCCAGCAGTTGAGGCACAACTTATCTCTCTCCTCAGGTATACATGGGTCTCTTTAAGAGTTACTGCATGCACTCTGATTTATATTATGCTATTAAAACCTATGCTGGGTGTAGTTATGTTTTTGCCACCTCTTTAGTTGACCTCGTTGTTGTTGTTGTGTAGGTTTCAGGTCAAAGTTCATCATCCATGTGGGGCCCATCATGACTCTTGTGGCGGGTGGGCAGTCAGTGACGTCAAATGGAAGGTCGGTTTCCCTTCCGTCACCCTCACCCTCACTCCCATCTCTTCCTCTTTACGTTCACCTTACACCCACTTCCTCTCCCCCCCCTCCTCCCATCTTCCCTAATTTTCACCAACAGAAGAACCTGGAGGAGCTCTATGACCTGATCATGGCCGACATTGAGAGTGCCTCCCACAGACTCCAGTGGACCGGGTACATATATATATAACTTAGCCCCTCTCATTTCTACAGAGAGTGCTTAATATATGTTTGTATGTGGATTATTTTTCAACGGTCATGGCCGACATTAAGAGTAGACTCCAGTGGACCGGGTATATATATAACTTAGCCCCTCTCATTTTTACGGAGAGAGTAATATATGTTTGTATGTGGATTGTTTCAACAAAGTTGTGCGTATCTACAGGAAGGGGGAAAGTGGGTTGAAACCTGCTCTAATTGATTTGGCCACTGACGTCACTAATCAGGTTAGTCCTCCCCCAAGTGAAAACTAACTGATTGATGATAATTTATAATTATACCCTAAAATTGAAGACTCAATGTCAGTCAACATTCATATCCCTGGGTTAATAAGAAACGAGAAAATGTGTCGTTTTGCGTTTTTAAAAAAACTATATTTTCCTAGCGGTGTAGCATGATACAGCAGTAATGCAAATTAAGTCCATTTTACGTTGTACCTCATTGCAACGCTGCCCCAAATTTGCACAGCACGTGCAAAGCTTGCGGCGATAACCGCGTTTGGCCTGTCTTCAATGAGCTTGTGGGATTTTTACTGTGACTAATTGCGAACTATGGGCACATATTGTGTGTATACGTGTGCGAACTGCAAGCGTGGTATATTGTATGTAAGATGGCGGAGTGTGCATAATATCTATTATTATGCTAATGGCTTACTACAAATGCTTGCAAACTGTGCAAGTGTGTAGAACCTATCTGAGGAGCTGCAATTTATGCCACTATTTGAATTTTTCGCCAATTTTGCAATTTCAAGCTGGTCCGCTCAATTGTGTTAGTACAGGCCATTTCACCTTACATATTATTATGAAGCCAGACGAACAAATTGTCAGTTTTCATGCTCCCAACGTGGCCCTTTTCATGCAGAGATCAGGTGTATAATTCGTTTGAAGAGGATATAAGTCATTTGATTTTTCGCCACTTTTGCAATTTTAAGCTGGTCCGCTCAATTGTGTTAGTACAGGCCATTTCACCTTACATATTATTATGAAGCCAGACGAACAAATTGTCAGTTTTCATGCTCCCAACGTGGCCCTTTTCACTGCAGAGTATCAGGTGTATAAATTCGTTTTGAAGGAGGATATTAAGTTCATTTTGCCGCCAGGTGATGTACATTAGGAATGAAAGAAATGACTCCAATACTCAGTCGGCTTCAACTGACATCAGACATAGAGGTACGTAGGCAGTAAACAGGTTTGACTGGTTTTTAAAACTGGTTATTCCGCTCCGTGGCAGACAAGAGGCGGAAGACCCAAACCTGTTGGTCCAGATTGGAGGACGGCCTTGCTGCTAACGCTGACAGCCCCTCTCTTATGATCTGGTATACAGGCCTCTAACCTCTCTTTCTCTCATTCCCTCTTTTTTTATATCTATCTCCTTTCTCCTTTTACATAAAGAAAGAGAGAGGGGGGCTCTACATAGGATAGACGAAACAGATACACACAAGGGTACACACATAATGTAAAAATGGACTATCTCTAGAGGTGGATGCGCAGACCTCCGTAACACAACAGAGTATTTTCCCTCCCCTTCTCTCCCTCCCCCCTCTCACACACAGGCTCCAGCTGATATGCTGGCTGGTGGCCAAATGGTCTGGCTCTCTCTCCGCTGAAGAAGGCCCTCACTTACTGTCACAGCTGACCAAGATCCTCTGCGAAGCCAAGAGGTTTTGTGTCAAACACATCCATTGATTCCTGCCTTGAGCCACGCTAGAATTAGCCTATAGCTTTACTAATGAGGCTGGAGTTATCGTAGCTTTACTATGGTATAGGTGTGTGGCTTAACGGTACAAATATAGGTCTGAAGAGGGGAACATTTTGTAATGTAATGAAGCTTTTTTTAAAATTTTATTAAGCACACTTTTATTGTCCTGAGAATGAAATGTTTCTGAACTACAGACCTGACTGCCTTCCATGGCTGTTCACTTGTCTCCGCGTCCTGGCTCTCCACTCCTCCGCCCACCTCCCCCTCCTCCCCTCCTCCCTCCCTCACCACTCTCCCCTCGCCACTGTCGTCCGCAATTCCTGGACCAAAGTCTGGACCGCCACTCTCAAGTAAGAGGGGAGGAGGGAGGGAGGGGGAAGAGAGAGGGAGAAGAAAGATGTGTAGTATAGTTAGCAAGTTGGAAGAGTGAAGAAGTAAAAGTGCCTGAGGCTATTTGTTGTTGTTGTCGTCTACATATATATTCACAGATTTTTGTGTCAGTCCATATTTTGTGCCTTCACCATTTTGAGTTAGCTGTGGTAATTATTAGAAGGGTGTTATCGCGAGTTGGTGTTTTCCTCTCTCTCTGTCAGATCAGTGGGTGTCAGAAATGCGGAGGAGGAAGGCTACTCCTTGCTCACTGCCCTAGTGGAGGTCTGTGTGCATATACACCGAGTGTTTACTATATACATCTCTTGTATGTAAACTATATGGGTTCCACTCCTTGCTTTGATACGCCCCACGCGATAGTATCTCTTTATTGCATTTAGCCTTCAAACATCACTAAGTGTATCACAGTAGTACTTAGTATTAGGGATGACCTCATTCTGCTTATAACTAAGTTTTTCACTCCCTTACTGTGTCGATTTTTCCGCTTAGTTACTTCTTTAACGATGGGTGTTATATACATGTGTTGTTTCCATAGCAACAGCTAGTTGAGACGGACCGGGAACCATGGAAACTAATGAGCCGAGCTGTCAATCACCCCAGGAGGTACAACTGTGTAATGGGGAAGAGATATGTACACATACACAAATACCATTGTAACTGAATTTAGGAGCGTGGCATATCTTCAAAAGATCAAAGTTAAAACTGGAATGATAAATATTTTATATGGTCATATTATGTTGCATATTTTATTCCTGCTCTCCTTGTATATAACAGTATAGCCATTGTAGGTGTGGAGTTGCTTATTCTGTGTGTGCATGCCCGAGCGTGTGTGTGTGTGTTGGCACGAGCGGTGGGAAAGGATCGAGTGACAAAACAATTAGCCGGCATTCATCTTCATTAGCCTCCCTTTCCCGTAAACAGCCTGACTCGACAAGCTCTGGTCTCTACGGAGCACCAGTTGTGTGTTGGGAACCACGTATTGGTTTCCGCAGTTTGTTTGGCTGAATTTGATTGTCGTTCAAGCCAAAACACCAACTAATTGAGGCCTTCTCATTTTTACTACTTTCTCGCCTCTCCTCCCTTTTCTTCCCTCCTCCCTTTTCTCTTTTCTTCCCTCCTCCCTTTTCTCTTTTCTTCCCTCCTCCCTTTTTTCCACTCTCTCTCTCTCTCTCTCTATCTTTTCTTTACCCCCTCTCCCTCCTCTTTTTCCCTTTAACCAGCTCCTTTCTCTCTCTCTCATCTCTTCTCTCTCTCCCTCACGGACTGATCTCTCTATTCTCTCCCAATTCTCTCCACAGGCCACTTGTATCTCTACTGGCCTCGCTCGTCTCCAACCACCACCTCCCGGAGTCTCTAGGTCCCCTCTCCCCCTCCCCCTCCTCCTCCACCGCAATCACACCCTCACCCTCTCACACGTCGCTCTGGCCCTATCCACTCAGAGTCCAGCTGCTAAACTTTCTCGTTCCTTCTGTTACGGGATCAGGCGAGGAGGGGAGAGGAGAGGGAAGAGTTGGGCAAATTGGTGAAGTATTCTTCCCTCATCTTCCTAATCATGCGACGTCGACATCGGGTTTCGGCTCTGGAAGGTATGTAAGCGTGTCATGTGTGTTACTTGACTCAACGGTGTGAGATTGTAAATGCACACACACGCAGGCCGTCTGTCTCTCTGGGTGCTCATTTACTGGTGTCCCTGACCCAGAGATCCTGCTCGGTACTGCAACAGCCTCACCTGACGTCACACCGTCTCCCATCCAGGTTAGTACATATTACTAACAGTCAAAACTTGGCAGAAGGACTCTCTGAATAAAGGACACGTCTCTTTATATCTTTATTCTACCCCATACTACTAACTCAAACAAGCGACACCTCTGTATAAAGGACACTTTAAATGTCCCCAGGGGTTCCCATATTCAGACGTTCTACTGTACATAGTTGCATTACACTTGGGAAAATTGCCGGGTAAAACCCTGGGCTTTACTATTCCTCACGAAAGAAAATTCTCGAGCTAGCAGTTTGTTTTCGACTACTTGGTTTTCATTCTTGTTTCATACCATAAGTGAAAGTTTTGCATTTTTGTGGGTGTCTATGTAAGCATTTGCTATATATCTAAACTGGAACCCCTCTAATATTGTACACTTTGCTTAGCTGTTTAATACCTGTCTTAACTCGCATTTCTTAGGCTGGTCAAACGCATGCACTGCGCACATGCATACGTACACATTAATACTACTGGACACGTGGTTATGGTGGGAAACCATGTACAAGTTCATTTAGGTTACCATGTCAGAACCCTGTACACTAGTTAGCATGTACATGCATCCTGTACGAGGTCATTACAGGAGACTTGTAATGGGCCGCGTTTACCTGTATGTTGCGCATGTCGACCATGTAATGTTATGTAATGGGAATGTGTTTACCTGTATGTTTGCATGTTGTTTGTGTAACATGATGTAATTTATCGTAGGCCCTGATCTTGTCGTCTAGTCGCTTCTGTTCAAAGCATGTTGGCTTTATCTGGGAATAGCATGTGAAATGAAACACACCCTGAGAGGGTTTGTGTGGGCTGCATGCACCCTATGTTTGTTTTGACTAGCGCTGATGACGCAGGGCTATGTAAATATTGCAACATCCATCCAGTATCATGGTATTATGCGTATACTGACCGTATGCACAGCGTTGATAACCATAATTGCACTTTACATTGTGTTAGAAACCTATTGTTTTAATATACTGTTAGTGTGTTGGTTTTATGTATGCATTGCGTAATAGAGGAAAAAGCAGTATGCTACATACAATGTCGTGTGTATTATATGTAACAACTAAGGTGTTGCCCTCTCTTTGGAAAAAACAGTGTCTCTGTCAAGTCATTACAAGAGAGTGTTAAATCGAGTAGTACAGTAGATGGCTTTGTTTTTCTGGGTGAGTTGGGCCGAGTCAAGTAGACTTGAGCGGTCAATACATTTGGCACGAGTCAAGCCTGTCCTCTCTGTGGGGGCTGCTCACTCAGCGATAAACCTGGCTACCCAAAACTGAGGTTCCATACATTATGTGGCCACACGTACAGTATGTTTATATGTAGGACCATGATAGTACTCAAGGCAACAAGCTACCATAAATTATCTCAACGTGCAACAACACGTTGAGTGGTAGACAATAAGCTAAGCACCATGACAGCATTATAATTGTCGAGAGACAAGAAACTGAGTAATTTTCTATCGTAGCAACTTTTTAATTGCTTGTGAAAAGTTTCTAGCAACACATTTTGTATCATTTATGCGTGAGTGCCTCCATTCTTCACCTCAACCCTAGCACTGCAGAAATTCGTGTAGAGCGCATACATGTGTTGTTGTTGTGGCGGTGTATACTTTGCAAGTGAAAAAGGTGGACATAGGACATCGTCTTGAAGTGTTTTGCCTAGCGCTACGGATGTGTACATGTGTCGTAGGGTACAAAATCGGTTCACTTTCGATACGAGGTTGGGTGGAGGTGTGCCACGGTGGTCGTCGTCTGTAATCCAGCGCCACATTTCCTGGCTCAATAGACGTTTGTGTAGCTGCGTGTGCACGTCTATCTGCCAATTGGACCCTTCATTGGTATGTATGTATAGTATTATGTATGTATGTATATAATATGTACGTATGTATATATATGTATGTATGTAGTATGTATGTATGTATATAATATGTATGTATGTATGTACGTATGTATGTATGTATGTATGTACTACACTCTATACTGTATTACCTACACGTAGGTTGCACAGTCATTCCTGATTGGTAGTTGCGCATGGCGCATGCGCTGATGATTACGCATGCGGGCATGGGGTTAAATGGGAGCACGGTTAATGTGGAGGGGGCAGCGGTGTCCAGAGTGCACATGTGTGGCGGCGGTCAGATAGCCCATAATGCAGTGAGGTGCAAGGACAGCGTCACACGCAGCAAGACACAGCAAAAGGCATGAACTCTCGGCAACATCTCTTTACTACAGACAGCAATGTATGGGTGGGCTATACGTAGGTACATACGTATGGTGTAAGTAGCATATGGCCGATAGTCATAGTAACCCTATACCGTGGGAGGATGTTTATATGGGATATGTCAGTCGATTGTGGTGGGTAAGCTACCCCATAATCTTACATGCCAGGAGCAGGGGTATATAAGTAGATTTGTACTTGTAAAGTGCACCGTACATGTCTGCATGTAGCATTAGGAAACACTACATTGGAACCTCTCTAATCCAGACACCTATGTGACATGTACATAAGTGTCCGTATTGGTGAGGTCTCAGGGTTAAATTGCATGCAAGAACTGTTGGAAAGAAAAGGTGTCCTCGTGCATTCTCCTATGACCTAAATGTTTTTTCTTCGCTGCTAGTGGAAACGTCCCATTTCCTTGCCTTCTATATACAGCATTCGGGACAAGATTAGGGAACTTCTAAATTTCCCTGAGACACCAATCGACCACCAATGGAGGGACATCGAACAACTCTACCTCGAATCGACCTTTCACACAGTTAGAAACCCAGTATACTGTATAGTGGGAACTTTTGAGGTGGAAAAACAAATTCCCAGGGGAAAATCTTTGCAGGTTGCAGCCCAAATAACTGACAAAAATTTAGTATCTGGCCATAAAAAAAATTTCCCACCAAACTTCCTGCTGTATACATAAGATGATTGTTTGGATTGTGTGTTTTTTTGCAGCCAATACAAGTCCAAGGTGCACGGGATAGTGCGGAGCCTGTTGTCTATTGCAGGTACATGTACATGTACATGAACATGTATCTGATAATGTTACACCTCTTGTACAACTTGTAGGCATGTACATGTTGCTTGTAAATTGTAGGGGTACCGTGGGCGCGCGTCCTCTGGCCTTCATTCCAACTCTGTTGATTTTTCTTTTTTCTGGTGTGTATAATAGGGATGAGAAGTGGCTAAATTTAGTTAGTTTTAACAGGTGGGGGTTGGAGTTTATTTTTAGCTTTCCCACCTCAAGGTGAAAGTTCAGGTAAGGGCTGTGTGGTATGTGACTATTTTTAGTAACATTGTGCAGCTGCTCTAAATATAGCAATGGTTAGGGTATTGTTTTCATCAGGTGTGTTGTATTGTAGGGAGTCACCAATACCTGCTCTGATGTCACTGCTACTGGAGTTGCTAGGCAACAGGGCTGAAAAACTGCTGCAGCAACCAATATCTGTTGAAGAGGTAAAAAAATGTTCTTGACACTATATATGGTGTTCCAAAATGTTTGCAGAACTGTTGAAAAAATCGCTCAAGAGCAGCTTTTCATAAATAAAGGTTTCGCGCAAACATGGCACGCAGAAGCAAAATCTTGACGAGTGTGTTGTTTATTCCATGTAAACACACGCTTTGTTCCAAAGGTTGCGGCATCTGTTCGGGACAAGATCCAGCATCTCGTGGTTGCCATGGAGACCCAGGCCTACCACTGTGCCCTCGTCGTTCACGTCCTGTTCCTTGTGGGTGTGGTTGGTGGGCGGAGTCTCGGGGAGACAATGAGGAAGTCCCCAGCAATCAACTTGCTACATGTAAGTAGTTGCTCTATATTTGTTTAATAGTAAATTTCAATTTCAGTAAGACTTATAGATGATGAATTTTGTAATAAGTCCTGTTTGGATAATGAATTGGCATACTATTACTTTGGCCACCTTCGTAAATATATCAATCCTCTCCCAACATTCCTGCCTTGTTTTGGATCATGTGATCATCACACGATTGTCGTGTGACTTCAGGGCCTGCTGCAGAAGATATCGACTGGGCTCACCGACCAGCTGTGGAACGAGGTGGAGAGGTCAGAGTACAACCAGACGGTCATCTCCATACTCCAGACTCTGGGTCCCATTTTCACGTTCCACCGACACGGAAATAGAGAGGTTCAGCCGTGTTGTACCGTGTGGTTCATAGGTCGCATCAAATTTTTGTCGGTATGTCCATAAAAAATTATCTGAGTTGCACTAACTTCAGTTGTTTTTATTGCCGAGCGCGTTAGCGTGAGGCAACTACTCCGGGTTGTATTCTCGCGATATATGCGTACGTACGTGCTTAAGAATGTCAATTAGTCACACTTAGGAATGTCACTTCCGTCATTCGTAGGAAGTCTAGCTTCCGCCGTGCGCGCAGATTCGTAGGAAGTCTGGCTTCGCGCGCAGTCAGTAGAGCGCGTGCACGAGCGGCCTCAGTCGGAGTGTTTACGCATTGGCTGGCAGGCGCGAGGCAAAATATGCACGTGCGCATTCCTAGTATACATCTGATGGCGTGTGCTTCAAAAATGTAGCATCACTGTGTATGTGCGCCATAAGCATTATACAGTTGAAAAGTGCTTCAAAACCACACTTTATACTATATTGGGTAAATGTGTATATTTATACGTACCGGTTGTGTAGTGAGAGCTTCTCTGTGTGTTTGTGTGTGGTACATACAGGTGTCAGCCGAGTCTAGGGGCGAGTATTGAACTGGTGAGGGAAGTGTTGCTTGCCTCTCTCCCCCACTCCCTCCTCTCCTCTTGCCTCAAGATGGCTATTAGGAAGGTATGTGTGTGTAACCTCAGAAGGCATGCTTCACTCACGCACCCACCTTTTCAATGGTACACAATACGTCACAGAAGCCTCTTGGCATACCTACCAACCTGCATATAAACCTCTGCTTGAGAAATGTGTCAAATTTGCTCGATTTGGAGTATTTTTGCTTGAAAATGCTGCTGTGTCCATTCAAAATGTATGGGCATGGTGCATCACAGGTAAGCACAAAAAAGAGGGATTTGGCAATTTTGTGGTGGGATAGGCAGTATTTTCGCTTGATTATCTAGCAAAAAGCTGGATGGTTGCTCTTGTTCGACACAATTAGAAACGATGAGAGTGCAACCTTTTGTCACTTGTGAATATCTTTCATTTGTCTCCCCTCCCCTCCCTCTCCCCCAGTCTCCCCTCCCTCCCCAAACTCCCTCCAGACCCAGTAGCACATTCTCCATGGCAACCTCCACCACTGGCCCCTCCCACCATCCCTCCACCACATCTTCCTCCCCCCTCTCCCCTTCCCCCACTCCCTCCCTCCCTCCCTCCTCCGCCTTTGACGACGACATGGACATAAGCAGTACCAATGACAGCGATCCTGCGATGCTTGGCGAAACCGGACAAACCGGTTCAACAGGTGTAGCCAAAACCTAATTTTAAGCACAATTATTAGATATTTAGGTGTTCTGTTTTGGTGTTTTGTCGAAAGATATGCTGTCGCCTGGAGACCAAGCCACCCTTCGGACGGAAGCAGCTGCTTTCATCATTCGCTGGTACCAACTGACCAATGTGGTATCTCACCCAGGGGGGGTCAGGGACCATAGTGAACCAAAACCAACCAACAGGGACGAAATTTTTGATCCAAGAAAGGCCATACTACGAATTCTAGAAAGAAGCGAGGTAGAGTATAATTATTATAATCCTACTACGAAATACACACCATTTTGTCTTTTTGTAGATTTCAAAACCAGTTGACGTTCAAATAGTAAGTAATTGTTGACTATATATGTTCAAAAAGTTTTGGTTAAATTTGGCAATCGTTGCCAATAGTATTGTTACTTATATCAAAACTGCTATATAAAAATCATCAAATTTCCAGAATACATGTGTTGTAAAGTGTGTGTAATGTTACGTAATTCCTTTTTAGGCATTCGATATTTGTCGATACTTAGCATCTGGTGAGAGAATAACTGCGTTTCTGGACAATATTGTGGAACTAGTTGGGTAAGGCTGGTCATGTGACTCTCACTTGAGTGATCGTGTGACTGTCACATGACTATATATATATACTCTCCAGTCAAGTGCTGACTCAACACCACAAGAGCCAGCCTGTTCTCTGCGAGAGCCTGAAACTCCTGGAACAGCTGGCACCTCATTACGAGAGGGGCACGGAGAGAGAGGGGGAGGGAGGAAGAGAAGGTGGAGGAGGGAGAGTGGGTCCAGAGAGCCCATTCCGTCACTTTATCCCACCTGGGAACAATTCTCTCTGCCATTTGGTGCGAAAAATTCTTAAACCATGTGCTCTTTTTTTGCTACATCGCGAGAGATACGTACATATGTATTTCTGAAATTCAAAATTTTTTTTAAAAATCACAATAAAACTGTACTGATGTGCTGATCGCTGCTGTGGTACGTACATATATATACTGTATGATGGATGTTACACATGTAGGTCTCGGTACACTGAGAATGCTCTGTGTTGGCCGGTGCGACTGCAGCTGGCATCCACCCTCAGTGCTTACCTGACTCTCGCTGCCGCGGCCCCCGACTCTCTCTCTCTCTCCACGAGAAAGAGAAAGTCTTCAGGTCAGCCATTTTCATCCAGTCACGTTGTTCACCTTTCACATAACTAAACTGATCGAAGCACCGAGCAGATTTGAAGCACTAAGCGAATCATGCAACTAAACTGATATAAGCACTGAGCAATTTTGCACAATTTTAAATCACCAATATGCAGTTTTAGTAAACTATGTACACATGGATTATGTAAGCCCGTAAGCGCTTGAACGGATAGACATTCTCCATGCAAAATTTACCTCCAGTTTCTGTTTACAGAAATTGATCATTGACCGTCGAGAGAATAAATTGCTTTCTCTCCCCCCTCTCCTCTCTCCATCCAGATACAGCCCGCAGAAGGAGTATCTCTGAGGGATGCACTGCTGTGTATGATAAACGACCCCAACCACGGCGTCCGCATGCACATGGCAAAGGTCGCGACCTCCCTACATCGCGTTGCCGGTAGCAACGAACTGCTCCCACGAGAGCAGCAGCTGGAGACGTTTCAGGAGGTGGAGGAGATGCTCAAAAAGGCTCACTTGATATCAGTAAGTCCAATCCATCCTTTCTTCGATCCCGTCTCCAAAATTTGCCCCCATAAACATTGCCCCCCACCCCCCCGAGCTATTGCTCAAACCCTATTTTCGAGAACCGATTTGCTCCCCTCTTGAGATAATTAAAACGCTGCTATAAGTAACTTTGTAGCTTACCATTTGCCGGCTTGTCAGCACTCTGGATGATAGACGATAAGAGAATAGACTTTTACTAACATACTGTATATGCCTTGGTTTTAGCGCACATGGATGATGGCTGACCGCGTTCATTGCTTTGTACTTGCTTGGCACCCATACACCTTTCATGAATGTTGTACTTTTCTCAGATGGATCAAGATGGCCTGAGTCAGGAAGACGAGTCGGTGAACAGAGTGGCTAGTATGATTGCCAACTCTGCAGTACCAGGCCTGTGTGTCACTGTCGTGTGAGAGAGCCGCTGTGGCTGATCTTGTGCTGGGCGTAGGGGACGGCATCGACGAACAACTGGCTGCACAGGTTGGGAGAGGAGGGGAGGGGGTGGAGGGAGGGAAGTCACTTTCTATTTCGTTATCTCTCCGAAGGCTCTCCAGCGGATATCCTGTTGTCTGGGTTACTCCACCACTGCAAGATTCATGGAGGACCACCTCCTCTCCTCCCTCTCCTCGTGGCTGGACAGCGGACGATCTCTGGACACGTTTCCCCACCAGCTCTTCTCTGAGACCAGCCAGACCGCCTTCTTTCAGTGGGTTTACCCCACGTTTGTGTATGTGGTGGAGGTTTTTGTGGAAGAGAGATGATTTTGGACCGTGGGGTGAAAGTTTCGAAAAAGATCTAGAAATTATGCATCCTTCTCAAGAAATTTTGTAAGCAGGGGCACCTCTCCCACTCCATTGTAGGTACTCCTGTACCGCTGCGAAATTCGTAGAATAGAAGCGTCAAGTAATAACCCTATTTCTTCACTGAAAACTGGTCACCACTGCCGATAAGAATCGCACGGTGTTCCTGACAGCCGTCGGTGCAGCAACACCGTGCAGCAAGCGCGCGGTGTTCCTGACGCCGCGGAAGCGAACGCGCGGTGTTCCTGATGGCCGTCGGCGCAGCAACGCCGCTGGAGCAAGCGCGCGGTGTTCCTGACGGCTGTCGGCGCAGCAGCGCCGCGGGAGCAAGCGCACGGTGTTCCTGACGGCTGTCGGCGCGCAGCAGCGCCGCGGGAGCAAGCGCGCGGTGTTCCTGACGGCTGTCGGCGCAGCAACGCCGCGGGAGCAAGCGCGCGGTGTTCCTGACGGCCGTCGGCGCAGCAACGCCGCGGGAGCAAGCGCGCGGTGTTCCTGACGGCCGTCGGCGCAGCAACGCCGCGGGAGCAAACGCGCGGTGTTCCTGACGCCGCGGGAACAAACGCGCTATGTTCTGCGGTCATCTCTCCAGTTTTTTAAGCATGATTTTCACATCATTGTGTTAGGGATCGTGTTGATGTGGTTGTCCCTCTGCTGGTCTACCAATGTGACGAGCCGGCCCTCCTCTCCCTCCCCTCCCTCCTCCACCCCTCTCCCTCGTCCCTCCCCTCCCTCCTCTCCCACACCCTCCCTGCCGCCATGGCGCTCATCCTACCCACCTTCGCCCAGCAGGACGGCTACGATTCAGAGGCTGGTAGCGAGGATCGGAGAGCAAAAGCCCGAGCCAGCAACAACCTGCTCGTGAAGCACCTATCAGAGGAGGTTGGTCATGTGACTACAATAGAGCGGGAAATTTGCGAGAAAGAAAAAAAAAGTTTTGAAGTGTAACTGTCAGCAATATTTTTGTGGGCTGACGAGCAATTTGTGCTATTGAACGGGCAAAAAATTGACAAATATCCCTTGAAAGTTTCCTGCTATGCCATTATCACGTGATTGTCACATGATTATCACGTGATGTTTTTGGTCTACAGCGGAGCGGGCCTTGGTACTGTGGCTTCCACTTATTATCATGTGATGTTGCATACACAGGAGATCGCAGGGTCAATGAAGTTGAGGATTGCAGAATTTGTTGTCTATCTTCTCCAGCGAGTGTTCGAGCCTCACACTTCCACCTCCCACCTGGCCCGCTACTCCAGGTTCTAACCCGTTGAACTGGTTTATACGACTTGTTTGTAGCAAAGTCACTACTTCACAGGAGGGGGAATAAACTTCTTTGTCATCTCTCTATCGCAGGTCGAGCGACCCCGAACCCTCTCCTCCACATTTCTCATCTCTGGGCGCGCGAGCCACTCTCGATTACATCGCTAGTTGCTATGGCGGCTCCACGGCAACCTCGACCTTCATGAAACAGCTGACAAGAAAACAGGTATCATTCCTGTCTGAGTTTCCAAAATTAAATTACACTACTTTTTAAGTGTAATCCTAATGTTTCAGGACAATATCCAGAGAATTTTGCTTGCTCTTGCTGTTGCCATGGAGACGACTCATCGTCCGTTCAGACGGAGGCAGCTGCTCCAGTCCTACGCGCTGTTTGTTAACCTCGTTAGCGACCAATTGGGGCAGGGGCTGGACGGTGTCGCCTCGTTTGTCGTCATGGATATAATCCACACTGTGATAAGACTGTTGGAGCACGAGGCAGAGAAAATGGGCGACGCAGTGAAATGGAGAGGAGAAGATGGGCAGAGTTTGGTGGAGAGAGAGAAAGAGGAGAGGGGGGAGAGGGAGAAAAAACGAAAAGAGGGAGGAAGAGGTGTAGAAGAAATGACAGTATCTCTTTGTTTTCATGTCCTTACGGCAATAGCACGGGCTGCCCTTGAAGCCTGCCCAGAGGTATGTAATTGATAGAGATAGTCCAGAGAAAAAGAGAGAAAAATTGAGAGGATTTCTTGTGTTTGCTAGGAATTGGGAAGACATCTTCAGGTTGTCGTGACGACCCTAGTCACCTTTGCCCAGGGGTCAAATGTCAAAGCCAACTTGAAGAAACAGGTCTGGGTAACATTTTCAACTGCGTATCACTTCTTCACAGAACTTTGCCCGCCCACTTTCTCTCCTCTCTCTCTCTTTCCACCGTCTCTCTTCCTCCTCCACTCTTCATTCTCTGTGTCTCTATCTTTCCCTTCCTCCTCCCCCTCCCTTTCTCTCTCTCTCTCTCTCCAGGCAATGCAGTTGCTCAATCTCCTCCTCCTAACTCCCTCACACTGTTCCTCCTTCACCCTCCACCTCTCTGAACTAGACCCTCTCCCTGTCATCCACGACGGATCCTTCCGGAAGTTTCACGAGCAGCAGCAGCTGCTTCGAGAGGCAAACGACCTAAACTCGCTGGAACAAGAAATGGACCGGTTCATCGAGGCGGGGCAGTCCCTGTCAATTACCACGCGGGGCCCCGGGCTTCGGAGACTGACGTATATGATTCGTAGTTGTCGTAGCGATGTTTCGCATCTGCTGAGGAGTGGGTGTAACTCGGTTCTGAGACTCGTAACGGGGTCTTGTGGGCGTGGCTTCCCCTCTCGTGACCACACCCATTGTTGCCATGGAGATGGGTCGTTGCCTTGGAGAGTTGGGTGGGCTGGACCTCACTGTATCGCTCTTCCGAATGTCCCTACGAAAGGTGAGTCTTTCTGCCAGAGCTTATGTAATTCTGCATCATAAATTTGGTATGGATGATTTTTCAAATTTAAAATTTCCACCCTTCCATTTTTCGAGTGGTTTCTCTGCAACATATTTATTTAGGCACGTTTCGATGAAATATTCTCTCTTCTCTCCCTCCCTCTCTCGTCCCGCTCCCACAGGTCGTTCGACCACAGCTCCCTCCCCAACAGCTGGTCTCCTCTTGCCTGCTGCACCGCTTGCCTTCTCTTCCTCCTCACTTCCCTCCTCAGAGACAGCGAGTTAGTAGTGGTTAGAGAGTTGGATCCTGCCGTGTAATGATGATGATGTCATTGCTGGTTCGGATGTATTGCAATGTATAATATCGATGATGTATGATGATGACATTGCTGGTTCGGATGTATAATATCCCGATGACGTATTGCTTGCATGTGTATATAATGGAGGAGTTGGCTAGCTATACAGGGCGGCTATTTTTACGTTAATTGTTTAACATGCTCCACTCTAGGGAACCTACACAATTGTAACCTCCTCTTTCTCTCTCTCTCTCTCTCTCAGTATATCGGTGGTTCAGGCCTGCAGCCAGTGTCTTCCTCAAGTGCTGGCCTCAAAGATGCGCAGCAACTGTCTTTAGTAAGATGGAGGACATGTACGAATGGACCAGCTTTCTGCAGCCCTTCAAATCGGCAAAGAAAGGGGTACATGTTTCGACCACTGAATCCCTTATATGTCTCTTTCTCTATAGTCGGTAGCAGCTGCTCAGTCTGTTCAAGCCCCGCCTACTAATAAGGCTTCTATCGACACGCCAAGTCTGTGGATTCCTCAGGGTCCCCATGGTGACGACAGCAAGGATGCTGTATCCACGGCAACCCACGAGTCGTGGATAACGTCCCTGGTGACCGGTCTCCTGGAATGCGGCGGAGTAACCGACCAGGTCCTGTTACTGGTCAAACCAGTTTGCCAAGTCAAGGTCAGTCCTGTTACTGGTCAAACCAGTCCGTCAGGTTACAAGAATGTTTTATTAAAGACTCAGATTCTTCACTGTTCCTCAGGTGTCGTTTTGTGAGGCCCTGTTCCCATACCTCATTCTGAGTCTGCTCTGGAACCAGGAGGAAAAGTACCGTCCAATCATATCGCGGCATTTCCGACGGTTCTTCTCAGTTGCCGCAAACCCTCCCTCCCCCTCCTCTCCCTCCCTCCTCCTCCTCCTCCTCCTCCCCCCAGTCCTCACTGCGGCTGTCCGTGACTCCACCCCTCCCTCCGTTTCCACGACAATCATGTTGAACACAGTCATGTTCTTGAGGACAGTCAACAGACCTAATCTGAGAAAAAGGTACCAACTTAAGTTTTTCCTGAAAAATCTGTTGTAAGAGATTACGTACATTTGTCGCTCTCTGTATATACAGTACTCTGTGGGACAACAACTTTTGGTTGGATCTCGACTTCCTCGACGTTGCCATGGCAGCACAACGATGTTCCGCCTACTTTACATCCCTCCTCTACGTCGAAATATGGCACGGAGAGAAATGGTAATAACTCAGATATTTCGTACATCGTATGTTATCCCGGTTTCCGTAGTGATTCCCTTGAGGGTGGAGCCAACAACGACAGTGAGGAGGGAGCCGTTCCCATGGAGACGGAAACCAGTCAAACGGGTTTGGAGAACCCGTCGGTCCACCAGGTTCTCCTGGAGGCCTACAGCAACATCGGAGAACCGGACTCGCTCTACGGAGTGTGTGCATCTAAGACGGTATCCAAGGAAACGTGGATGAGGCTATACGAACAGGAGGGAGAGTGGGAGAAGTCACTTAGTACGTGAGTATACTTAACAAAACCTTCCGGAACATTCCGTAAAGAGCAAAATATTGTTAGTTACGTAGATCACCAAAATACAGTCACTTAAATTCTGAAGTAAAGGACTCAATTTTGTTTGGTATACAAGTCACTATAATAATCTTCCGGAACATTCCGTTAGGTACAGTAGACCACAAAATCCGGTTCATAGCCCATTTCTGTACATTGAAACACTATAAACTACCAACCAACTTTTACACGTTTTGTGATGCAACAGTACGTGGCTAATCTCTCTCTCTCTGTTTGAAGGTGCCTACAATCTCAGCATGCACCTGCCGAATCCCAGCTGCCAATCTAATCTCGTGGGAGTGAGTTTCCCGCCATTTTTCACCCAGTTCTCTGATACATATGCACGTACGCACGTCTCTGTTTCAGAGTCTTCATAATCTCGGGCTATCGCACGTCCTCAACATGTACCTGACGGGAGTGGGTGTGGCCAGTCCCCAGTCCATGTCGGGTCTGTCCAGGTTCCAGTACGAAGCGGCCTGGCGCTGCTCTCTCTGGGAAGATCAGCACGTCAGGTGACGGCTGATTTGCTAGCTGTGTGTTGATGAACTGTATAGTTTTGATGATGTTGTTGCCAGCATTTTCACAAAATTGCAAAAAATTTACATAAAGCGGGTTGACTGCTTGCCCTTGCCTTCCCTTTGGAATTTTATGGCAATTACACATTTCCATGAGAAATAAAAATTAATTTGCTTCAGTTGTTTGCAGTACAGTGTAAATGGGTTTTTTCAACCCACACACACACACACACTCCACTCAGTATGTTGGCCCAGCACCCTTGCGGCTACACGGGGTACCACCGATGTCTCTGCGACTCCCTCGTGGCTCTCAGAGACGGCGAACCCTCCCTCCTCTCCTCCTCTCTCTCCTCGGCCAGGTACGTTGAACACTTCATTCTTCGTTCACCATAGTGACCGGCTCGGCTTTATCATGCACACAATAGCCGCCTACTTGCACATATGTGTTGTGCGCAGTTAATTGATATAGCCCCAAGTTTTAATTGGCAAGCGAAACGTCATCTTATTACGCGATTTTTCTTTATTATTGTGAGTGACAGGCACTGCACATACCGTAATGTTCTACGTGATTCTAAATACGCGCGAAAAATCAAACGTCATCTTATGTACGCACGAAGACTTTAACTGCTCGCACTCGCTCGTCAAAAAAATGCGCGGCATTCGTTCTTGTATAAAACAGGTTTCAAACAGGTTCAACACTGTACACGAATGCGCAGTACTCACTCTCTGTTGGACTGATACAGGGCAGAGGTGCTGGGAGCACTGTGCGGAGGTAGTCAGGAGGGATGTGGGAGGATATACCGCTGCCTCTCGCAGCTGCTATGTCTCTGTGAGCTCGAGGAGGCCGGGGGAGAGAGAGGGAGGTGAGTGGGAGGAACCTGCGTCAGGACACAACATCTGGAGTGAAGTGCTGGGGGAGCGACTAGGCCGAAAGAGGGAAGCAAAAGGAAAGGAGGAAACGAGAGAGAGGAAAGAAAGAAGGAAGAGCGAGAGAGGAAAGAAAGAAGGAAGAGGGAAGGGAGAAAGAGAGGGAGAAGGGGACAGCGAAAGAAGTAGCGGGAGGAAGAGGAGCGAAATAGACGAAAGACAGAGAGAGAGCGGAAAAAGAAGAAAGAGTGGATAGCGAGTAAAAAACGCCCTTCTGTATTGTGCCTATCCTGCCTACCCACTTCCTCCCTCTCTCTCTTCCTTACAGCCCTGGTCTTTCAAACTCAACCTCGTCACCGTTTCAATTTATCGACTTGTGGAAAGAGAGACTAAAGCACCTGGATGCCGACTTTGTCTACGTCGAGCCGGTGCTGTCTCTCAGATCTTCTTCACTGCACAGTCTCCTGCAGAGAGAGAGGGTTGCTGGTTAGTACTCTCATTCCTAGGCCCTCACTTGATGGCCTTGGCGGATTGTACTCAAAAACTCTGCCTATTTTTCTTTTCTTTTATGCTCACATAAATTGCCTTTTTTTATTTCTTTAGTCTTGCCTATTTCTATTTTTCTCGTCTTGCTCGCACACTCACACAAACACACACACACACACACATTCACCCAAAGGAAGAAGAGGTGTGGATGGGGCGGAGCGAGGAAACACGGAACCTCTCTTTGTAGCTCTCTGTGATAATCTACTCACACTAGCAAAGAAGGCTCAGGACGTCGGTCGATACCAGGTATATAGGTCTCTCTCTCCTCTCTCTCTCTCTCTCTCTCTCTCTCGTTTAAACCCTACTTTAGTGTATTATTTGACCTCCGAGATAGGGACGACCTCTCTACAAAGGACACTTGTTTCAACCCCTGCAAACTTTTGTATTATTTGACCTCCGAGATAGGGACGACCTCTCTACAAGGGACACTTGTTTCAACCCCATGCTAATACTTTAGTGTATTATTTGACCTCCGAGATAGGCACGACCTCTCAAAAACCGTTGACCCATAGTGTCCCTTGTTCGGAGGTGCCACTGTAGTTATGAACACACTTTTGTTGCTCTCGCTTCCTTCCATCTTTCTCAAACCGACCCCCCTCTCTCTATCCCTCTCGCCCGTCTCTCTGCCAGGTTGCAGAAGGCGCGCTCTTCTCACTCCATCACCTCCACGACTCGCGCAGCTGTTACTCCGTCCCGACCTCCCTCTATCCCTCGTTGCCCTGGCAACACAGACTCCAGGAGGCCAAACTGCACTGGGGGAGAGGAGAACGAAATCTCGCACTCAGCCAACTCCGCTCCCTGCTGCAGACGATAAAAACTGTGAGTGTCAATAATATGCTGAACGGCTGGTTTTTCATATCATTTTCCAGTTAGCCTATGCATTCATTCATGGTGGGTTAGCCAAGTTTGTTGTATTGTAGTCCTGGCGATATTGAGGTGCCGTGTTGCGAGGATAGAATCCCATTTCTATATTTGTGGCACTACGCGGCACTGCGCAAGTGGCGCTGCACGATGGGGCAATGCTAATTCTTTTCTCTCCCCCCTCTCTCTCTCTCTCTTCAGCTCCCAGACCCGCCAATGGAGGTGTCTTCCCTCTACCCCTCGGCCCTCTGTCTCTACGGTAGCTGGCTGGCCCAGACCCACTCAGAGAATCCAGCTGCCATCATGAAACAGTACCTCGAACTCTCCGTCACTCTCATGGTAATAAACAAATGTGCTAGATATATACTCATTTTGGTCAACATCGTCAAAATGTCAAAATGGCAGCATCAGTTTTGTGCATATGTGTTGAGGCTAGCACATGTGGAGTGGGGGAGTGTATGCCATATGCATCCCTCCTTCCCCTCCTCCCTTCATGTATGCAAACTTCGTATAGAGGCAGGCCTACAAGACTATACACGAACCATGTGATGCCAAGAGGAAAAAGATGGGGAGCTCTGGACAGCTGTTTCGGGCTTGTTGGCCCTCATCAGCAGAGCTTACCACGCAACTTCTCTCTCTGGCATCACGAGTTTTATAAAGGCTACCAGGAGCACAGCAGCACTTGTGCTTGTAGTGTACTAAAGCTAGGTCATGTAAATATTTTTGGGGCAACATGAATTTCTACGCCGAAATGTATGAACTCTGCACAAACAGGAAAAACAGGAAACCAGTGATCTCGGACCTCTGCTGAATGCCTATCTGATGCTGGCACGGTATGCGGACAGCCAGTACCAGCGTGTGACACGTCACATGACGTCGACGGCCTACGACACCAAGAAACAGCTGCTGCAGAAATCGCAACTCGAACTACAGAAACTCACGGAGGCGATGTCCTCTGAAGCTCGGACAAAAAACAGGTTCTGAGTCTTTGCGCGGCACAAAAAAGTTTAATTTTTTTGCTGAATACAAAAATTTTGCAAACCTTGTTTGGCTCTTTACATGCTTCAGTTCCCTCACGTTTAAATCCAGTGTCAGCTTAAATGAGCAAAAAAATCAAACTCAACACAAAAATTTATCGAGGATGTAACTTCCTTTCATAATGCTTCAAAAGGAGCTATCTATCCTTCGTTTCTCATATTCTCTGCTTATTTTCTTCTCTATCTCTCTCATCTATTCCTCCCCCCTCATTTCCCTCTCCTTCATTCTCACACATGACTTACAGACACGTACGTACGCTAATGGCGCAGATAGAGGAAGACGAAATAGCCATGAGCGGACTGAACGAGGACAGACGACAGTTTCTTGAGAAAGCTCTGCACAACTACGTCCACTGTCTCAGGACCGGCGTAAGTTTTGTTGAGACTGCGTTACCTGGTGTCAGTTGGTGTCGAGGTCTTGATTTTTTGACGCAGGATGAACACGACTTGCGCGTGTTTAGACTCTGCGCCCTGTGGTTTGCCAACGCAAGTGACGCAAAGATCAACGCCATCATAACTGTGAGTGAATAGAGTAAGAGACAACGAGTTTATTATACTTAGTAGGGCAAAGTACTGTAGGAAATGGGAAAGTGAGAGGAGTTTCGGCAGGTAAAGCATGCCGTAGATGCAATTGACTAACGAACGAAGTTTCTTCCAACGAACGAAATCAGTGCCGCCCTGCAGACAGTGTGTGTGCCCACTTACTTCGGTTTTAGAAATGAAGTAGGGGCGCAAAGTAAGAAAGGAAGAGGGTGGAAGGAAAGTTAGGTGTGTCTGTCTCTGCAGAAAGGCTCGTCTCAAATCGAGAGTCGGAAGTTTCTCCCCCTCCTGTACCAGCTGGCTGCCAGAATGAGTTCCCGTAGCCTAGCAACCGACCCCTTCCAAAGTACACTACAAGAGGTACATATAATTATATGCATTGCGAGCAGTTCACTTCGCAAGGATTTCAGGTGATTTTAACAAAATGTGCATTCCCCAAGAGGGTTAATTTTAAAATTTGGTGGTCCAACCACAGTCTTGAAACTGAAATTCAAATCTCCTCAGATCATATTTCGTACCAGTGTGGAGCATCCTCATCACTCCCTGTACGTCACGCTGGCCCTTAGCCACGCCTCCATGGACAACTCTTTCCCCTCCTCGGGTCATGTGACCGGCGGAGCCGTCAAGTCTCCTCGCCCCTCGGGGAGACTGGCGAAGAAGAACAGCACCGCAGCGAGCACAGTGGACGAGGTCTGATTCCTATACCCACATACCCAGAACCTTTAATGAACCATATCATCATAATTATTCTGATGTGCAGGATAAGGTGAAGGCTGCAAAGGGTCTCATACGCAGACTCCATTCCGAGCGGCCGTCCCTGGTCCATTCCATGGAGCAGCTGTGTGAGGCATACATCGACCTCGCCTACCACGACGTCTCGGCTCACCGACGAGAGAGGAAGCCCATCAAGTTTCCCGCCAGCTGCACGCTCGTTAAACTCGCCGGGAAACTGAGAGAGGTTGCCGTGCCAACCGTTGACATCGAGGTATACGCAATGTAATGTGTGAGTACCTTTCTGTGTGAGATTATGTTTTTCATACAATTACATCGTGATGATGTCACGGAGTTTTGATGCATATACCTTGTTGTGTGTTTGTGTTGTTGCCAGGTGGATCCCAGTTTGTAGCTACCGCCACCTGGTAACCATCGACCGGTTTGACGCGCATTTCCAGTTGGCGGGCGGGATCAACCTGCCCAAGGTTCTCTCTTGTATGGGCTCCGACGGAAAGAGGAGGAGGCAGCTGGTCAAGGTTGGGTACGTGGCACGTGTTTAACCCATTTCCCACTGCTTCGTTTTTATTGTTTTTCAGGGTAAAGATGACCTGAGACAAGATGCAGTTATGCAACAAGTGTTTGTACTGGTGAACAAGCTACTCCAAAAGGAGCACTCCACCTCTAAACGAAACCTAAGCATTCGCACATACAAGGTGATAGCTTCGTAAAGTTGAAATATTCGTGAGGTTTTTTCTCCCGAATTTCTGGCCAAAGGTGGTTCCCCTGTCGCAGAGATCTGGGATTGTGGAGTGGTGTGAGGGGACCACCCCCCTGGGGGAATATTTGGTGGGCCCCCAGGGGAAGCCGTTTCAGGGGGCCCACTGCCGATACCGGCCCCGGGACTGGGCCTCCCTCGAATGTAGGAAGAAACTGATGGTAAAAAAACAACCACTTGCCTCCCTCTCCTCCTATCCTACCTCTTGTCTACTTTCTCTCGCAGCGGCGTTGTATATATAGCACACAAGCAAGTAGTACTGCCTGAGGCTTTTTTTCTTCGGACATGACTATTAGAGTATTGCTTGCGCCAGAGTTTGCGAAATTTTGATGGACCAACGTTTCAGTCTTCCTAATTTGTTTGTAGCTGATATTGTCACTGTTGGATGCTACACCCAACAAATAGTGCATATAGACAGTCCAAAGGTCGCACGATCTATGTACTTGCTCACTCTAACCGAAGGAAGTTAGCTGTCTAGCGTAGTGTATGAATCACTCAGTAGTGTACTGGTAAGGGGTTCTTATGGGCCATGTACCCTGAAGTCATCCATGACCTAAGAATACTGTGCTGCATGTATAATCATCTCTAACTGTACCAGGATGCAGGGAGCAAGAGGGGACCGTCCAAATTGGACACCTACACGAGCATCACTCGCCACTTTCGTCCAGTTTTCCACCATTTTTTCATGGAGCACTTCCCCAACCCCTCGGAGTGGTTTGAATGTCGACTGATGTACACTCGCAGCGTCGCGACTTCATCCATCGGTTAGCTTTCTCTCTCCTGCACGGAAATCAAGTGTTTGACTGCACACACTATATATTTCTCCTGTGTCCACAGTGGGGTATGTGGTTGGTCTTGGTGATCGCCACGTCCAGAACATCCTCATCGACACTAACACTGCTGAATTCATTCACATTGATTTGGGTGAGGGTTTTCCCCCTAATACATATTCACACAGTGTGACTTTCCTAACGCTCTGCAAAAGAGTTAGCATACGGTAAAAAGATGTTGCTCACCAACATGGCATAAGTGGCTAACACACAATGGTGTCCTTTAACTATGGAGTAGTATTAAACTTAACCTGCTTGCTACTGTAAAATTGTTCTGCGAAGTTTCTAATGTGTGTTGGATTATCCAAAAGGCATTCATTACATCCCATTTAAAGGCTTTGCTCAATAGTTTCCAACAATAAATGAGTGTGTGATTGTGATTCTGGGTAGGCGTGGCATTTGAGCAGGGGAAGACCCTCCCAACTCCCGAGACGGTGCCGTTCCGTCTGACGAGGGACGTCGTAGACGGGATGGGCGTGGCCGGCGTGGAGGGAGTGTTCAGGCGATGCTGTGAGAAGACAATGGAGGTCATGAGGGCTTCGCACGAAGAGCTTCGGACGATTGTTGAAGTATAAAACTATCTTCCTATACTTTTATCTATTCACTGTGTTAGCTACATACAACAGCTAGATTGCAGACGTGAATTAAAGAAAATGCTTGGCCCATAATAATAAATATAAATACAGGGGTTGTCTATTTTGAGGTCAATACTGCTATTATGGGAGTTTCCACTGTGTACAGCTACACTATGACTACCGCAATAACTGGATGCATTTTCTATTTTCAGAGGGTGAAATTTTTTAATGGTTTTTCTCTCCAGGTTCTGCTGTATGATCCTCTCTACATGTGGACAATATCCCCAGTAAAAGCTCTTAATCTCCAGCGACGCGACGAGTCGACATCCACAGCTGCCACGGGGGACCAAATATTCGAGGGTGGGGGTGGGCCCCCTGCGACAGGGACCACGACAAACGGGTCTAACCCGTCAAACAAGATGGCGGAGCGAGTTTTGCTGAGATTGCAGGAAAAACTGGAGGGGATCGAAGATGGTGTCCCGTTGAGTGTTAGCGGGCAGGTGAACCAGCTGATCCAAGAAGCGACTGACCCAAATAATCTCAGTCGTCTCTTCCCTGGGTGGCAGGCCTGGATTTGACTGCATAAACATACATCTGACCACCTTATTAAATCCCCGAGGAGTGTATATATGTTGTTGTAGAGTGTTCTAATTTCTTTAAAATAATGCTGCATACTACTCTCTTGCGGCTTTATGCGTCTTTCTATCCTTTTTTTGTGCTGGTATATAGTTGGTTTGGTGGTGCGTGAATCTTTTCTTGTTTGTCAGAGAAACTCTACAAAAGGCTGCTTTCATCAAGGATATATCCTCGTTTCACTACGCAGGCTAGCGTATTGGCGTGGGCGACATAGGAGTAGTGTGTACATAAGCTGCGATGCTCTGCGTGTTTGAGCCCTGTGGCGACAATGGCAGCTACCTACGAAAGCGATCCTGCGTCGGATTACTACGACGTCTTGCTGCTGGGCCGTACTGGCCTGGGAAAGAGCACCACGGCCAACAAGCTTCTGCAGGTCGACAACCGCGACTCCGTCCTCGTTACGTGCGACAAGGGAGCAGATGTGGGGAGAGACAGGGCCCCCAATTTCCGGACGGGAGACGGGATGGACTCCGTCACGAGCGAGTGTAAGCTCGTGTCGAACGAGATGAGCATGATACGCGTCCTCGACACGCCGGGGTTCGCCGACACGCGGGAGACGAAGGAGCACGGCGTCTTCCGCAGCAACCTGCGTACGTTCCGGTCCATTCTCCGAGCCCAGGACGTCAACGACTTGGCGTTCTGCCGTGTCCTCTACTTTCTCCCCCAGCGCGGTCCGCTGGAGCGAGCCGACGGCGTCTTGCAGGAAGAAATCAAGCTGATACACGGATATCTGGGCGAAGAAGTCTTCAAGATTATGGTGATCGTGGCCACGAATCGGAAAAAGAGGTACGGGAAGCAGGAGGAGTTCGATGATTACGATGTGGGGAGGACAGAGAAGGTGTTTATGAAGGCACTGGAGATAATTATAGGGTCGGACGTTATAGACCGATGTCCGCCTGTCCTCTACCTCCCGTATCCGGAGCCCAATCTGATCCACAAAGTTGTGGGGGCTCCAGTATTGTACGAAGAGCCGCTAAAAACGCCCGTGGTCGTCGATTTCTCTGAGTCGAGGCTCAAAATCGAGGAACTGATCCGACGGGAGAAGAAGAAGCACAGGGGAAGGAAGCTGCAGTTTAGGGACCGGTGCGTAAAGTGCTCCTCGAAGCTCATCTACGAAAACACTAGGACACGTGGAAGAGTGCCTGTTCGCATTGTAGTCAACGAAGGTACCGATCAGGAGGAGACGGTACCAGTACAGCGACAGCAAATGCCACCCATACCTCCTCCCCAAACACTCGAGCGTCACCAAATTGGTGGGTGGAGTTGCTCACATGGCCACGCTTGGACTCTTCGTCGGGATCGGAAAGGCTCGAGGAAAGAAAATGTGGCCGGGTTTCACCAACCACGACGAATTCTGCGCCGGTTGCAAGGGACCGCCGAGTGCTGCAGGGTGCACGAAGGTCGACAAGAGGTTCACGTTGCAAACGAAACAGAAGGAAGAGGAGATAATGGTGTGCCATTCTACGACGCTAGACAAAGTGCACATAATCGAGACAACAGTATAATTATTATTATTGTGTTTTTTGTGCTTTAGTGTCTGGTAGCCGACAAGTGCTATCCTTCCAATTTCCATTTCCGTTTCGGACAAGTATAGTGTTTATTGTTTTAACAGAAGTACTGTATATTATACTACAAATTATTTACTGCTTCAATCCTGTGTCCACCTGTGATGTAATGTCAGAGTTGTAGTAGGGGGATGTTGGCTGTACTTTCACATCCCCTATTTGGTAGGCACCTGATAATCAATGGTATGCAGTATTCAATGAATACTTGTTTATAAATTTGCAAGCTTGAATAATACAAGAGGGGTGGGACCAAAGGGGCTGGCCAGCTGCAGCAGATTGCAAAATGGCAGCACTAGGGCCCTGAACCTGCTGTTCTTGCCCACAGCGCAGCTAGCGATGAAGAAGAAGAAGAAGAAGAAGAATCGGGCTATTTTGACGTGATGCTGATAGGAAGGACCGGTCAGGGCAAGAGCACGGTGGGAAATACACTACTGGATATCGACCCAGACACAAAGGAACTAATGGGAGGATACCGGCAAGGCGAGGTCATCACTGACGTAATAAAACGGTGGGACGGCAACGGAGACCAAAAGTACTTCTTTGAAGTCGGGGAAGGGAGTCAGTCGGTGACACAAAGATGCAAGGTCCTCTCGAATGAGAGGAACAAGGATCGAGTCCTCGACACGAGGGGTTTTGCTGACACAGAGAACACACGTAGAGATGGAGTCATCAACGGAAACTTGCAGAGCTTTCGGTGGATCCTGCAGGCACAGAAGATGTACGACCTCCGATTTTCCCGCGTTCTCTACTTTCTCCCGAATCGCGGCGCACCCGAGCGAGCGGACGGCACGTTGCAAGAAGAGATCAAAGTCATGTACAGCTTCTTCGGGAGGCAGATATTTGACGTGATGGTTGTCATCGTCACCAACAATAAGCGTCCCCACTACCAACAAGCCGGCTTCACTGACGAAGAAATTTCCGAGACAAAGCAAGTTTTCAAACATGCTTTTATACAAGCCACAGGCATCACCCTTCCAAAATACCCGCCCATCATTTACCTTGGGTACATGGAACGCCCATATAAAAAGGTAGTGGCCGCTGATGTGATATCAGACGCTGAGAGGTTGTATTTCTCCTTGGAGCAAGAAGCAGCCGATCATCCTCTAACATCGTCCGTTAGAGTCAGCCACGATATGCCACAAGAAGAAAAGAAGCGTCTGCTCACAAACTATCGGGGAAAGTATTTCAAGTTCGAAAACCGGTGTTTGCGTTGCGCAGTCAAGATCATACAAGAAAAGCTGCCCTCGGGTGAGGAAGTGCCCGTTAGCACAGTCGACGGAGAAGGCAGCGTAACGCAACACGACGAGTCGCTCTGCCACGCATTCTTCATCCCGAAACACTCGAGCTTCGTTCGATTCGTGGGTGGCGTTGCCCACATAGCTACACTAGGCATGGGGATGGTCTACGAAAAAGTCTACCGGAAGAAATCGTGGCCGTGGTTTACAAACTCTGAGGAGGTGTGTGTTGTGTGTCAAAGCCCGCCTGGTTCAGCTGGCTGTAGGCCAGTGGGAAAGAGCATCGAGATACGTGGCGAGAATTACATGATTGTGCACTCGAAAGAGTTTGACTCTGTGACACTGTTGAAGGAAGATGATATATAGCCATTCGTTGTGTGTACATGATTGTGTTTGTGCATGCATGTATAACGAAACGTTTGATGCATGCATAGAAATGCGCATGCGTGAATTCGCGCGTCCAGTAGCACAAAAAAACATTTGTCCTATCTTAAGTTTTTCTCCTATTCTGCTCCATCTTCTACGAGTAATTTTACAGTGTCCAATTCACGGGAGTGATCGACTTTTATAGCTTGTGCCCCAATTTCGAACCATTGATTGACGGGGTGACAGCTATCAGAGCCAGGGGGTTCTTTGCACTTGATACACACTTCCTCCGAGCTCATGAAAATGGGCCAAGACTTGTTTTTGGTGACATATTCATAAAGTTTCTTAACGATACCCAGAGTTATGACATATACTATGCCCCCAGCGATTCTTTTGAATATGGTAAACTTGGGAATGAACTGGGGGTGGCAGTGCGAAAGGTCATAAACATCTTCCTGCCCACTGGGAAGAATTACACGAACAGGCAGCTCTTCGCCAGATTCGTGCCTCTCGTACACAAGCTTGATGGCACATCGTGTGCATCTATCTTCAAAACTGAACTGTTTCCCTCGATTCTGTTGAAAGGCTTTCTTCTTTTCTTCATACGGTGTTTCGTATTTCAGTGAGAGCTGAGAGGAACTACTTGGCTCCCTGCGAAATTCAGGATTCTTTGGATATTCTGGTGAAAATACAAACATTTCGGCATCTGAAATCACATCAGCGCCAATTACTGATTTAAAAACCTTTTTGTGATCTTCATTCAATGGTATGTAAACAACTGGAGGGCATTGAACGGTGGTAGTGTTGGGTGCTGTTCCATCCTGCTGTTCATCAGCTACAACTTTATTGAAAGCAGCCTTAAAAACAGCCTGAGTTGTATCAATATCTTCTTGGCAAAAACCCGCTTTTTGATAATATTCACGTTTGTAATTTGTAACAACAATGACCATAATATCGAAAATTTTCTGGCCAAAATAACCATACATAACCTTAATTTCCTCTTGTAGGGTGCCATCTGCTCGCTCTGCGGGGCCACGCTTAGGAAAAAAGTAAAGGACACGAGCAAAACGCAAATCATGTGCCCTCTGGGCTTGCAAGATCCATCGAAAGCTTTGTAAATTGCCCTGAATCACCCCATATTTCTGGGTCATTTCAGAATCAGCAAAACCCCTTGTGTCTATGACCCGAGTTGTGTCATTCGACAAAACTTTACATTTCTTGGTAACAGAATCTGTTCCATCCCCAGTTTCAAAAAAATATTGCCCATCGCTATCATATCCCAATTGCTTGATCTTAGTGTCCTTCTCGTAGGGCACATTCGTTTCAGGGTCGATTCCCAGCAACTTGTTTCCAACTGTGCTCTTCCCGAACCCAGTCCTTCCTAACATCATGATGTCACAGTAGCTGAATTCATCATCGTTGGCTGATGCTACGTCCCCAGTACTTCCCTCACTTTGTGGTATCTGGATTTGAAGGCTAGGTGTCGCTTTTGCAGCAGAGCTAGAAGCCATTTTGTCTACAGCACGAATGAGCCCTACGTGGGTAGGGTAGCGAAGTCAGACAAACCGCCCACTGTAGAACAACTGAGGTTGTAAGGGAGATTCCAATCTTATCAATATCTATTGTTCTCCTACTCTATAGAAAGTAGCTGAGGGCACAAAAGGGTATTGTTACTCAGCAAAACGATAGTTTTCATACACATTCAGCACACATACTATACAAGATTTTTTTTTACAATGGCTATAGTTGTTCGTTTTTGTGAAGGCACTAAACTTCATGGTTAACCATGTGCTCTTTCCCATCAATTTCAACTGATTGTTTGACGGGACAGCAACCCTCTGTTCTCGGCGGACGCCTGCAATTCACGCAGACCTGTTCATTGTTCGTGCACCCAGGCCACGACCTACTGCAGAGTAAAAATGAAAAGCACTGAAGTGCAAACCCTCGGCGTACTGTTACGCGCACGCGTAAGTAAACGCATGCGCCGTACTACTAATTGCTGGGCTGGGTTTAGTTTTAGCTGTTACCCGTGGTCTCTTGCCAGCTCGCGCAGAGTCTGACGCGGGCTAACTACACTACTAGATAGCATGCGAGAGGCGATACACGCCCTGCGTTGCATCTTCTGGTGCCTCCGAGGTACGCAGAGCACGCGGATCGATCATGCCGTAGTAAGCCGTTGTGTATTTGCATATTGGCTTTTTCGCGCTCTAGCTTTGCAACGGAGCGTTTTCAGCGAAAACCACACATATTTTCTGACCTTCATTGCCCGTTCAGTAGGTGGTATCCTTTGTGAGACGAACGAACACTCGAGAAGTGAGATGACGAGTAACAGACAGACACACAGACAGACAGACGACAGACAGACAGACAGACCCAATGAAAAGCACTAAAGTGTGCAAACCCTCGGCGAAGTAGCTCGCAGAGAGTCTGACACGGGCTAGCTACAGTAGTAGATAGCACGCGAGAGTCGATAAACGCCATTCGTTGTGACTTCTTGCGCCTTCAAGATAGACAGAGCAAGCGGACCCGGTCGAGGTAAGCCTGTGCTAAATATAAGCGCATGCGCATTATCCGCCAGCGATAAAATGGCGACTACCGGCATTAGCCGTACAATGCTGGAAGCGTTCTAGCTCTGCAACGGAGCATTTTGAGAGAAAACCCCACGTATTTTCTGACCTTCGTCGCCCGTTGGGTAGATGGTATCGTTTATGGGACGAACAGACATTCGAGAGGTGAGATGTAGAGTAACAGACACACACACACACAGACAAACCCAACTACAGTACCCTCGCTGCGCATGCGCGCCGAGGGTAACTACCGTAACCCTCGCTGCGCATGCGCGCCGAGGGTTAATAAGCCCAACGTGCCGATGTGCCCTAGCCCTCCAAAAAATTTAGCGCATCGTGAGTGCTTCTGTACGAAAACCGGGTGGCACTTGGAGCAATCGTGGTTTACCAACTCGGAGGAGGTGTGTGTTGTGTGTCAAAGCCCGCCTGGTTCAGCTGGCTGTAGGCCAGTGGGAAAGAGCATCGAGATACGTGGCGAGAATTACATGATTGCGCACTCGAAAGAGTTTGACCCCGTCACATTACTGGAGGAAGAGGAGCAGCTGGCTCCGTAGTTTAATATAAGGTGTACTCTCTAATTAAAGGAAATTAATCTTTTTAAGACATGGAAATTATTTCACACTCTAAGATGGACATTAGTGGTTTTGTATTAGATCAGCTTTGCGTGGTTTCTTGACTTGTTTCTTCATCTAACAGTTCCACTGTGTCCAATTCACGTTTATGATCAATTTTTTCCATCTTCCCGGCAATTTCGAAATGCTGATTGACAGGGTGACAACTTTGGGAGCCAGGTGCCTTATTGCACTTTATGCATACTTCGTCTGAACTGGTAAAACTGGGCCAAGATTTGTTCTTGGTGGCATATTCGTATAGCTTTCCCAACCCTAGAGTTACGATGTGTGCTATGCCGCCAAATATTTTTTCAACTCGTGTGTATTTTGGTAGAAGGAGAGGGTGGCAGTAAGAGCTATCGTAAACATCTTGATCTCCATTTGGGTAGATTACGGCAATGGGTAGCTCTTCGCCCGATGCCTGTCTCTCAAACACTAGTTTAATGGCACACTTTGAGCACCTGTCTTCGAAACTGAGTAGCCTGCCCCGATTCTGGCGAAGAGCTTTCTTAAATTCCTCACGGGGTGTTCCGTATTTTAGCGTGGTTTGGGAAGAATCGCCCACCTCCCCACGAAATTCTGGGTCTAGCGGGTATTCTGGTGAGAACGAAAAATATTCCTCGGCTGAAATCACCTGAGTACCATTGATTATTTTGAAGACTTCGATGTAATCTTCGTTGAAAGGTATATAAACTACTGGGGGGCATTTCCGTGCAGGAACGTTTACTTCTACACCCTTTTCCTCTTCGACGACTATCTTTTCAAAAGCAGACAAAAACAGCCCCTGAATTTCTTTTATATCTTCCTCGCTATAACCCGCCCTTTGGAAATGAGGACGCTTGTTATTTGTAACGATAATGATCATAATATCGAATATTCTTTGGCCGAAATACCCATGCATTACTTTGATTTCTTCTTGCAAGGTACCATCTGCTCGCTCCGGAGGTGGACCGCGCTGAGGGAAAAAATAAAGAACTCGATAAAAGCGCATGTCGTTTGCTCTCTGGGCTTGCAAGATCCATCGAAAGCTTTGTAAATTGCCCTGTATCACCCCATATTTCTGGGTCATTTCAGAATCAGCAAAACCCCTTGTGTCCATGATTCGAATATTGCCGTTGGACAAAACTTTACATTTTTTTGTAACAGATTCTTTTCCGTCCCCAGTTTCAAAAAAATATTCCTCGTCACCGTCATACCCCCACTGCTCGATTTTAGTCTCCTCCTTGTACGGCTTGCGTGTTTCAGGGTTAATTCCCAGCAACTTGTTTCCAACAGTGCTCTTGCCCAGCCCAGTCCTTCCTAACATCATGATGTCATCGTAGCTAAATCCAGCACCATCGTCATCTGATCCTTCTGCCCCAGCTCCATTGGTGATTTCAATCTGGATTTGGAGACTTGGTGGCGCAGCTTTGGCCTTGGCTTTGGCAGCCATTTTCAACACAACCAGCGGGCAGTTCCCTTTTAGGGCAGCGCCCGCTGTAAAACAACTGTGGTTTTAAGGGAGATACCAATCTTATCAGTATCTATTGTTCTCCTACTCTATAGAAAGTAGCTGAGGGCACAAAAGGGTATTGTTACTCAGCAAAACAGATACATTCAGCACACATACTATACAAGAGTTTTTTTTTACAATGGCTATAGTTGTTCGTTTTTGTGAAGGCACTAAACTTCATGGTTAACCATGTGCTCTTTTCCCGTCAATTTCAACTGATTGTTTGACGGGACAGCAACCCTCTGTTCTCGGCGGACGCCTACAACTCACGCAGACCTGTTCATTGTTCGTGCACCCAGGCCACGACCTACTGCAGAGTAAAAATAAGCCCAACGTGCCGATGTGCCCTAGCCCTCCAAAAATTTAGCGCATCGCGAGTGCTTCTGTACGAAAGCCGGGTGGCACTTGGAGCAATCGTAGGCTTCTTCTCTGGCTTCTTCCTCGCCATTATCGTGCCTAACACTAACTGGCATCTCTTCGCCATCCGTTGACTTCTCCGTGATGACCAATATGGCACACTTCTTGCACTCCGTCATATTATTTCCCTCTTTAACTTGATCTGTATCGCCACGATTTATTGGGAACTCTGGCGAAAAATCGAGCGTTTCGGCGTCGGAAATGACATCCGCCCCTGTGATACGATTCAATACACTCTGATACTCTTCACCAAAAGGCAGGTAGATGATCGGTGGACACTTGGGAAGGACGGCACCAGTTATCCTCTTGAACGCAGCAAAAAAAACTTCCATTGTTTGTCTAAGGTCATCTTCCGTAAACGCCATCTCCTGATAATGCTCACGCTTGTGGTTTGTGACAGCAATTACCATGATGTCGAAGATTTTTTCCCCAAAGTAGTCGTGCAGGACTTTGATCTCCTCTTGGAAAGTGCCCTGGACTCGCTCCGGGATTCCACGCTGAGGCATGAAATAGACGACGCGTGAAAATCGAAGGTCGTGCTGCCTCTGGTTTTGAAGGACCCATCGCAGGCACTGCTTGTTTCCCCTAGCTACTCCGTAGGAATAAGCCAAGTCCACATCCGTGAATCCTGGTGCATCGAGAACACGATTCATTGTGTTCTCATTCGAGAGAACTTTGCACGCCTTTGTCACGGAATCGGTTCCGTCGCCTGTTTCGAAATAGAGATTTGCATCTCCTTCAACGTCCCACCTCTTTATCGCACTTGCCTCACGCTCCCTCTTTGGAACAGCTTCAAACAGTTCCTTTGTGTCTGGGTCAATTCCTACCAGCTTGTTGGCCAACGTGCTCTTCCCCATTCCGGTATTTCCAATCACGAGAATGTCAAAGTAGCTGAAATCTTCATCTTCGCTTGTGTTGTTAGGCATTACTTCTACCTGGCCAGATAGTCGGGCAGTCATTTTGAGTACTTGCAGCAGGTCTAAATAATGAGCATCTATGAATTCCACCCCTTTTTCTTTAACGGTGACATCATTACTATAACAAACATCATTGTTTTGAGTGTTATGCACATACTGAATAGTGTCACGTGTCTATATTGTTTGGGCAGAGGGTATTTCCACGAGCGTGTCTAGCTTAGTTGTGTGGTCGACAAAAACGCGCTCTCCGTTGACTTCAGCGTATTGGTTGACTGGGCAACAGGTTGGCGAACCGGGGGGTTTCTTGCACTTTATGCACCTTTCTTGACCGTCAAAGAAACTGGGCCACACCCTAATGCTTCCGTCCAACAGCCACTCCACTAGCTTGAATGTTCCCAGCGTCAGGATGTGGCCTATGCCACCAACTAATTTGACAAACTTTGAGTGTTTCGGAATGAAGAGTGGGTGGCAACCAGAGTTGTCGTACTGCTCTTCGTTGTCGTTTCCGTAGATGACTTTTACCGGGTTTTTAGTACCATCATGTAACCTTTGGTACACTATCTTGACGGCACAGCGTGTGCAGCGATTTTCAAAGCTAAGCTCCACACGTGGTGGATATCTCGGGAATTCTGGGGAAAAACAAAGCGTGTCCGCATCGGAAATGACTGGTGCACCAACAATTTTATCCGATATTTCCTTGGGGGTGGTATTTAGTGGTAGGTATATGACTGGAGGGCACTTAGGGAGCCTGCTTTGGGAAATCTTTTCGAAAGCTGTAATGAACACTTTTTCAGCCCTGTCGATGTCTTCTTGTGTAAACTCCGAACCTTGGCATTTCTCGTCGTTTGTAGCAACAACGACCATAATATCGAATATTTTTGTGTCGAAATAATCGTACATGACTTTGATTTCTTCCTGAAGAGTACCATCTGCACGCCTGGGTGGGCCACGTACGGGAAAGAAATAGACAACGCGCGAGAAACGAAGCTCACATTGTCGCTGCACTTGAAGGATGCGGCGAAAGCTCTGAATATTGCCCTGAACGACGCCGTATTTCGCTGTTAGCTCGCTATCTGCGAAACCCACTGTGTCGAGGAGTCGATTCTTGTCAATTTCGTTGGATAGAACTTTGCATCGGTGAGTAACGGACTCGATCCCGCTGGCCGTTTCGAAGTATGGCTCGTCGTTTTCGTTGCAATCCCACCTCCTTATCACGTCCTTTATCCCCTTCCCCGTTTCAGGTTCTTTCAGTAGTGACCTCGTTTCCGGATCGACGCCTATAAATTTGTTGGCCAGTGTGCTCTTGCCCTGACCGGTCCTTCCTATCACCAAAACATCGTAGTAGCAGGATGTGTCGTTTTCTTCTCCACCTTGAGCGCAAGCACGAGAGGCCATTCTTTAGCGTGCGTGCAGGGGGGCACTGTCGCGGTAGAAGACGTATGCGCATGCGTATAAACAATTGGGTGGGGCTGGCGCTGCTCTTCTGCGCAAGTGTGTGTGTGTACGTGTGTGCAGCAGAACCGCTGTTACCAATGGGAGCAATCGTAACGAAGAAGAGCAGTGTTAATACTCTTGACGGGGCAGGAAATCCAGAGACGACCACTCCACCGTCAACGACAAGAAGTGGTGCAAGTACAGCAAGCGTCAACTCCGTGGGAATCCCCCTACCCCCGCGACCACTACTTGTAACTGAGTCTACACCTCCTTCTCCTATCTCTATCTCTATCTCACCTACCCCACCTCCTCGGCCGACGGGGGACACGCAGTCGGAGAGTAGTGCTAGCAGCAGCAGCAGCAGCGACAGCGACTCTGAGAGGGCAGCGGCACCCGTCGGCGTCGAGGCAAGCTGGGAACTGGTCGAGCAGTGCCTGAAGTCCCTGGAGGCCGGCTTTGGGGTAACATTCGAGCGGAGGCAGCTGCTAGACCGTGTACAGGAGGTTCGCTGCAGGGCGGGGGAGACGCTAATGGAAGTTCGCCAGGCCGCTGTGGGTGTCTACGTCGTGAGGGAGGGAGAGTTGGAGGTCCTCTCTCCCAGCAAAGATGTTGCTCTGTGTTGCTTGGGGGTTGGGGACTTTTGCGGGGAGCTCTCCAGCTTTTTCCGTGTTCCTTGCACTGCAGCAGTCAGAGCGAAACATGGAGTCAGGTAGTCCCTTAGCTCTAGCGTTTCTCAGTGGACACAAGTAATTATGCTGTCTCGTACTTTGGTGCATGTGGCTGGTGTCACGTATTTATCTATGGTTGTCGGTCAGGGCCACAGTTCTACTGCTGCCCCTACTGGCTCTCTCTCGGAGCTCTCAGGTCGAGCAGGTCCCAATGCACAGACTGCTCAAATGGTGCACAATAAGGTAGAAATTCACGTCATCAGCCTACATTTGACCTCAAGGGAATTTTTCTCGCACTAGGTCTTATGTGAGCACAGGTGACATGCTCGACAAGTCAAAATCGTCTCTTCTATCAAAAGCACAGCTTGAAGCCTGTTTGTCGGTAAGGAGACATCGTCAATAGCAATGGTGGTTAGGTGGTTCTGTCCGTATAATCATCGAAGGCTCCAAATTCCTTGTTTTCAACTTGGAGCACTGAAGCTAAAAGCTACATTGCCACCAAGTCAAGTCCAAGTAAGCCGTCCACATCATTTTTCGCACGATAAAAATTGCGCATGCACTGACCCTATCATTCAGTGCTGTTTAGCAGCGGAGATGTTCTATGTGAAGCTGGAGAGGAACCGTCTTATTACTTTCTTGTCCTCAGAGGCAGGCAAGCAGAGGTATTACTGAGGTCTCTATATGAATGGGTGGTGTGTATACTGCAGTGTTAAGTTTTCCACTGGATCTGGAAGGCCAAGGTCTTTGACTGTCCATTCATCGAGTGAGGGCAGTTGCATTGGCAAAGGTATATAACATCTCAACAATTATTCCTTTAATGATGCTACTCTCTTGGCTGTGTGTATTATGCGTATTCAGAGCTGTTCGCGGGGTCAAGAGTGGTCTACACTGCCACAGCAATCTCTCCTCTCCTTGCTGTCCCTATCATACTAGATCTACTAAAGGACACTGTCAATAAGGTATAAACTAACGCGTGCATACCAGTGAAGATTTTGTGCCTTTTTCAGTTTCCAAGAGATGCAGCAAAGTTGAAGAACATCCAAACTGGCACCCTGTAATCAGCTACATCATAGCCATATTATTTCATGCATCATTCAATCTTTCATAAGTCTTTTAGACCCTAAGTTTTCCTTCCAGAACTATGTAGGCACGTCCAGAAAGAAACACCCTCCCACCTTCCCCAATCTCCACCCTCACATCTCCCCCTCTCGCAGAGCACTGCCGAGCAAAGAGGCGTCTCTTGCCAAGTTGCTCGCTCCAGTAGCTAGCTAGAACAGTGTGTGCTGCACCGGTGACTGGATCTTCAGGTATACCAACCCAGGGGGCAAAATATCGCGAGAGAAAATCATATTCCCCGGTCCCCCTCATCGTCAAAATTACCCCTTTAACTAGGGGTTCCCCCTGAGGGGTCTGCTTCAAAGCTTGGGGGTCCACTTCTAAATTCTCGAGCTGGGTCCTCGTGAAAGAGTCGGGTAATCTTAGGAGAAGTTTTTTAGTTGAGGGAGAGTATTGCACATCTTGAAGAGGTATATCCCCTACTGCTGTGGTGATGAGTGGCTGAATGTCTGAAGTGTGCTCTATATGTTTGGGAGGATTGAGTGGAAAGTCTAGCGTTATTTCTTCCCCGTTTCGGACAGCTTTCAGGACCCCGCTCTTGGTACGGAACCGCAACTCGTGGTTCGGGTTTTCGAGTCTGTGGAGTAAAACTGCTGACGTGGCCAAAGTCGCGTGACCACACAGGTCGACTTCGACTGTGGGCGTGAACCAGCGGAGGCCGAATTCCGAGCCGGTCTGGAACGTGGACGCGTCACCTTCTTTCTCTACGACAAAAGCAGTCTCCGATAGGTTCATTTCGGCCGCAATTTTCGTCATGGTGACGTCATTTATACGGTCGGCAATGTCTCTTCGAATGAGACAGACGGCTGCAGGGTTGCCTGCAAACGGCTTACTCGAGAAAGAGTCCACCACGAAAGTTTCGATCTCCATTTTCAGCTAGCCAGCATTAGAGCCCCACCCACTCAAAGAACTAGCGCATGCGCACTAGCTAAACCAACTGAGCCCCGCCCATAATGTTTACGTGTGTGTGGGCGTGTGCGCGTAGAGAACGGGATCGATCATGGCTGACTCAACCGGTATACAACAGAGGCAGAGAGAGGAGGAACAACTTCACGTGGGAGCAGTGGATGTCCAGATCCAATCGGAAGCTGACGACTCATCAGGTACGGGTCAGACCCAGCCAGAAGCTAGATCATAGAACGTTCAAGTTGGTCGTCTTAGTTTAGTTGTGCTATATCGTATAAATAAACGTAGGGGGATGGATCATCGTCTCTGTTATAGTATGTCACCATGTTTCTAAATGCAGACAATCCGCCAGAGTATGCCACTGTATTGGAAGAAGGTGGTGCGGGGACAGAGGGCCAAGAAAACGGAGCTCAACCGCTCAGCTACGAGGCAGCAATGGCAGGAGATGTCCCGTCACAACCACCACCGTCCACTGAAGTCCTAACTGGTATTGCATCTATACAGACGGCGAAACAATAGAAGCTTCAGGGCTAAAAGCCCAACATAAATGTACAGAATGTGTTATACGGCGGCGCCATTTGCCGTGGTCCGTAGCTAGCTACGTTTTCGCGTTAGCCCTGTGGGCTTTCACACCCTCTGCAACGTTGATTGATTTTCCGTGTAACCTTAGCAGGGGTCTGTGTGTGTGTGTGCAGTGTGCCAATTGCATACTCTGAAGCCCATAATGTCATGCCAGAAGCTCTATACCACGGTACTGTTTGCCCTTGTACGTATCAAAAGACTATAGCATATGCAGCCAGACATATAAGACAGTGTTGATAAGGGTTAGGCCATACTCACCCCTTTTGTGAGTGTTGACAGTATGTCAGGCTAACCTGCAACTTGGTGCAATACGTCATGGTTTAGAGCACCACCCACATTAATGTTTTTCCATTTTGTGAGCAGGAAACATTATTAATTGTACAGTGGGGTTACATTTTCCCCGTGAAATTTAGTACTGGCTACCGACTTCGAAGTTAATCCCAAATATCACTCAACTGTATTTTCTTTACTCTTCTCATCATCACATAGCTGAGGCCCCGCCCTCTTATCTTCAGCTGTTTGGTGGCAAGGAGGAGGAGGAGACAGATGGTGTGGGACGAAGGAGACGTCACCGGAGACTAGAGGGTGATGACAACGATGACGAGGGGAGGATGGGGCACTTGAGACTGCTGAATCTCATCCCCACTAACAGAAAATCTGCCTACAGATGTGGTGAGTAGATACCCACATATATACATTGCTCAAAGACTCTGTCTGGGTACTTACACATAGGTATATATAATATAGCTAAATTCTTCTAGGACTGAAGCAATCTGATGAAAATGAGAATTGTAGCCTCATTCCCAAGCTCCCCCCCTCACTTCATAGGAGACAAAAAAGTGTATGATGCATTGAGACAGCATGTTTGTTTTGTGGGTGCCTATTATAGTGGAAAGGAAAAGTAAGAAACTGGCCATGTTGCCTGATACTATAAACAGACAATGCTAGAGTAACCGATTGTGTATGAGTTTAAAGGGAATGTGACAATTCCCTTTCTAATGCGGACTCTGCAGGTGCAGTGATGGCATTACTGCTACTTCTGACTGTCCTTTCGCTCTGTATGGTGGTAGTAGGTAAGTACCAGTGGGAGATTCCTAATCTGCACTCAGCAATACCATAATGCTGAGGTAGTGTTACCTTGCTAGGCTTGTGAACATTTGTCGGCACGCCAAAACTAGCTACCAACTAGTTATGAAACTTATACTCAAAAGACATGACAGTATATATACAGTAGTATTATGCTTTCACGTAAGCCAATTTTTAACCCCTTCACTGCTCCAGGTTCCGTACATTACAACCAGTGCTCGGTGCAAGAGGTCCCCCTCTACCTCATAGTCGGTGGCATATTCCTACTGGTAGAGATCGTTCTTCACTCACTACTGTGGACGGCACAGAAACTGTCTAATGACGAACCAGTCTACAATATCATCAGGAAATTTGACTGCATCGCCCTGTTTCTCGTAGTCTGGCTAGTGGTTGGCTCGGCGTGGATTTTCAAGGCCGGGAGAGACAATTTGTGCAGCGACTTCGTGGACCAAGTCACAGCCCCTCCAGTTAATGTTACTACTACTGGAGATGTTGGAGATTCGGAGCTGTCTGAATCAGGGGCCGAGTGTGAAGATTGTCCGTCGGGAGTCTATGTGTTCACGGTGTTCCTCATTCTGTTCCAGTATCTCATGATTCTACTGCTGGGAATATGCTGCTGTACCTCCTCCGTCAGATATAGAAGACACTAGCCATGCATATGTCGTGCAGTACCAAACATAATTATTTTATACTTCTTTTGTCAATGGCTACTTTGTTGAGAAGCATTGTATTATTATAAAGCTCAAAAGACAAGTATAGAGCCACTTACTGTCTTAGCCAACTGACTGAGAAACAAGGCAGCTATATGTAAAACAGTGCCGCGTTCAGAAGTTATGGCGTGAAAAGCAAGTGAACAAGCCAATGTGCTAATTAGCACTGGCTCTGATCCGTTGCTCTGTGAGTCTGTGTACCTCGGAGGCACAAGAAGCCACAACGAAGGGCGTGTATCGACTCCCGCATGCTATCTACTACTGTAGCTAGCCCGTATCAGACTCTATACTAGCATTATAGCGGGGAGATCACGAGTAAACGTAAATAATAAGCCCAGCCCATCAATTAGCGGTACCACGCATGCGCAGTTCGCCGAGGGTTTGCACTTAGAGGTATAATGAGTGCGAAGATCGTCAAATCGCCAAAAAATGCTTGTTCTAGTTATTATACTCACAATCATTATGATATAAAACACAACAGTGTAAATCATTCAGGATAATCAATTCTGTCTTGTAAGTTAGGAACAAATGTATAGACTTTTTTAGTTTTTTTATCGTCAATGCCTTTATTTGGAATGGCTTGTGATAATTCTCTGGCAGTAATTGTGACCATTGCACTACGATCAACATAACTACCCTCGCCCAGGTGCTGACCAAAAAGCTTATCCATCACAACACCGCCTATCGCAGCACCTATAGGCCCACCAATACCAGCCCCAAATGCTGCACCCCATACAAACACATAACCACGTCCAAATCGTTCAAACCAACCAGGACCAGGTGAAACCAAAGGATAAATTCGAATGGTCAAGTCAGTTTGGAAAGAGCAGTGGCAGATTAAAAACTTTTCTGATGGCTGGGGTGTAATTTTGAGGGTTGAGTAGAGCATATTCATGTCATCAACATCAATTATGCATCCAGACGGGAAACGTCCGCTGCTGATGGTAGTTGTAGTATCATCAATCATTCTGAGAGCTGTGGAATAGCAATAAAAAAATATATACATGGCCCCCTGTTTTAGGCAATCAAAGATTCGCATTGTCTAATTGTTGGGGTTCTGGGAAAGACGAATGGAAGCAAGCGCGTGTGTAGCTAGTAGCTACCCGCGTAATGCTGCAGCGGAGGGAACGCATGAAAACAGAGCGAATCTGTGGGTATAGCCATGTCCCTTTTAGCTATTATATTATAGTAGGTTCCAGTGAGTGGCCTTTTTGTATTTACGCTCTTGCTGAACCATATCAGCCAGAAACCAATTAGCTACTATATCTACCAACCTTCATAGAATTCTGTCATTCTCTCAGCAATTTCGTGGTAGGCATCTTCAGCTGCAAATAGCTCTGTAAACTCACGAAACCATTCCTCCTTACACTGGGCACTATCCAAACTGTTCAGAACTTTCTTCATTACTATGTCTGCCTTTTCTTTTCTTCTAACACCGCGCATACTAGATATCTCCCTACTTGATTCAGATGGGATTAACTTTCTCTCCTCCAATTTTTTTGCAAAGTTGCCAACATCATTGCTGATCGTTTCCACCAGGCGGTTATTGTACTGACGTATAACAGTGGCGGACTCTAAAGCAATATAGCATCGCACTTACGTACCCGCAAGCTTACCTCCGTCTGCTAAGGCCCTCGCCATAGGCACAGCTGCCCGCGCAGAGTAACGCGCGCGTAATAAAAAAAAACATTAATCATGTGGCAAAGTATGAATAAAGGTATGAAGTTTTTTCTTTGATCCGTCATCAACATTTTTGCTGGGGATGGATTGTAATATTTCTATGCCAGGAATAACGATCATTCCATCACGATTGACGTCAAACCCTCTGGTGGCATACTGACCTACAAACCTATCCATAGCAGCGGCAAGTACAGCAGCACCAATAGGCCCACCTAAACCACCACCAAATCCTAGGCTCCATGCAGGCACAACACCGCATGCAAACCAAGCAGCAGTACCAAATAAAACCAAGGGATAAAGTCGAATAGTCAAGTCCATTTGAAAAGAGCAGTGACAGATTGTACGTTCATTGGATTGCCTTGACACAGCGATTTTGAGAGTTTTGTAGAGCATACTCATGTCATCAACATCAGCAATGCATCCAGATGCAGAACGTGTGCGGCCAATGGCATCTACAGCATCATCAATCATCTTTAAAGCTGTGTGAAAAGAACGGTAACCATGTAGCTAACATCATATCCAAAAGAACACATGGCCCATGAGTCTAAAGTTTTCCCATGGTCTCTTCAGCACGGTAGTGTATAGGGTTGTATGATACTTGGTAAACTAAATCATATGAGTGCAGCTAAGTCTACATTATTATTTACAATTAGCAACTAGATAGCTATAACTACCTGTATAGAACTCTTCCATTCCCTCGGAAACTTCGGCAGAAAATATGGCTGTAAACTCATGAAACAATTTCTCTTTAGGCTCCGAAATGCTCAAGTTAGTAAGAGTTTTCTTCAACAGTATATCAGCCTTCTCCTTTTCTCCGACATGATTCATACTAGCCATCTCACTGTTTACTTCATTAGAAATTAACTTCTTTTCACATAACTTGATTGAAAAGTGTAAAACATTTCTGCTGATCGTTTCCACCAGAATATTACGGTAATGAAGTATTGTGGTGTATTCTAGTTGGAATAATCTAATAGTAATCCACTTTACATACACTGTAATATCAACATTACCTCTGCCTAATACAGGGTCGCTTGTTGCAACGGGTCGAGCGGGCACATCCATTCTCGTTTACTCCGCGGGAATAGTCTTGTGCCCCGAGACCCTCCCCCTTGAGAGACCTATATTCAATGCTAATTGGCGGCGCGTACTCCCTAGCCTAACTAGCCTCTTTCCGGTTCCCCAGAACTCTACTTGAGCCGGGTAAGGATGGGGTCAGCGGCTGGAATGCGGGAACGGACTGAAGGCGATGTATAATTATATATACGCTTCTCCGTTCCCTCGGCGCGCATGCGCAGCGAGGGTTTCTGTCAACGCTTATATTTTCGACGGCCATCACTGTTATTTTGAGCAAATGGTATTATACGTATCAAATTGCACCTATTTTCTAGCAGGAGTGTTTCTGAGAAGGCAGTCTTGTGGCCAAAGACCTAGGGATTACATCCACGAGAGGTGAGGTCGCTCAGTACACACACACACCCCAAATAGTAAAGTGTAAACATTGTCATGAAAGTACATAACCTTCTAAAAATGACTACCATTATTTTATTCATGTTGCCACCCAAGTAGCATTTCGGACACAAAAACATAATTATTTTGCCACAGCATGCATCATGCAACTCAAGCATAACACACCCATAAGAGTACAAATGATACACACAGAGTCAAGATAAGGAGAAGTGTTTCTTGAGAGAGGAGATGTAGCGGTGTATCCTGAGAGCAGGTCCTGTCTTGAGGTCCATCAACTTCACCATCATCGGAGGATCCAGAGACAGCAGGTCTC